CGTCCCTAGGGGCTCTGCCTCTCAGAGTCCCAGCAACTGCTGCAAACCTCGGAGAGAAAGCTGCCTTCAAGTTCCGACCAAAGCCAGACAGTCCCGCTTCTCCCTTTTGAGTCTGGGTCCCCAGAGACTCGCCCGGATCTGGAGCTCAGAGTCTGAAACTCCCTCCCGATTGAAAACAACAACCGCGCCCTCCGCCGCCAGCCCGGTCGTGCGCACTCCACACCTGAGTATTTCACTTCAGCACTGTGCCTCCTCTGAGTCTGGGTATGATATTCTCTTTCCTCCTAGTTGTAGAATTTCCACTCAGCCAGCCTTCCTGTGGTTCTGGATGATGTCCGTTCTGTCCTTTAGTTATATCTCTGAAGTGGTTGTTCGAGGCAGCAATCTCCGGCGTTAACCTATGCCGCCATCTTGGTTTCTCAAGGCCAATATTTCTTTATTGATTTTCTGTTTCAATGATTCATCTAAATCTGTCAATAGAATATTTAGGTACCATACTATGATTATTTTTGTCTGTTTTTTCTCTTTACTTCTGTTAGCAATTGCTATTTATATTTTGGTTTTCCATGATTGGGTGCATATATATTGAGAAGTGTTATATCTTCTTTTTTTTTTAAATTCTCATTGCTATTTTAAATATATTTTTTTATTGATTTTTTACAGAGAGGAAGGGAGAAGGACAGAGAGTTAGAAACATCGATGAGAGAGGAACATCGATCAGCTGCCTCCTGCACACCCCCAACAGGGATGTGCCCACAAGCAAGGTACATGCCCTTGACCAGAATCGAACCCAGGACCCTTCAGTCTGCAGGCCGACACTCTATCCACTGAGCCAAACAGGTCAGGGCGTGTTATATCTTCTTGATGTAGTTTTCCTTTTATCATTATAAAATGTCCATCTTTGTCTCTTGTTAACTTTGCTCTCTTTACTATTTTGTTAGATATACATATGGCTGCACCTGCTTTTCTATGGATATTTTCTTGGAGAATCATTTTCCACCCTTTCACTTTGAGTCCATATATGTCTTTGCAGCTTAGATGTGTCATCGGAAGACAGCATATGGTTGACTTTTTAATATATATATTTTTGTATTGATTTCAGAGAGGAAGGGAGAGAGAGAGATAGAGTCATGATGAGAGAGAATCATTGACCGTCTGCCTCATGCACACCCCCTTTGTTGATAGTAGCCATTCTGACAGGTGTGAGGTGATACCTCATTGTTGTTTTAATTTGCATCTCTCTGATGATTAGTGACTTTGAGCATTTTTTCATCTGTCCTTTGGTCATCTTTAGGTCCACTAAGGAGAAGTGTCTATTTAGGTCCTTTGCCCATTTTTAAATTAAATTGTGTGGCTTCCTTTTGTTAAGTTGGGTGAGATCCTTATATATTTTGGATATTAACCCTTTATCAGATGTATCATCGCCAAAAATGTTCTCCCACACAGTGGGCTCCCTTTTCATTTTGTTGGTTTCTTTTTCTGTGCAGCTTTTTATTTTGATGTGGTCCCATCTGTTTATTTTCTCCTTAGTTTCCTTTGCCCTTGGAGATGTATCCATAACCACATTGCTACGAGAGATGTCTTGAGATTTTGCTGCCTATGGCTTTTTTGTAGGATTTTTATGGTTTCATTGCATACATTTAAGTCTTTTATCCATTTTGAGTTTATTCTTGTATGTGGTGTAAGTTGGTGGCCTAATTTCATTTTTTTGGCATGTACCTGTCCAATTTTCCCAACACCATTTATTGAAGAGACTGTCTTGACTCCATTGTATGCTCTTGCCTCCTTTGTCAAATATTAATCAAGCCTAATGGCTTGGGGTCTCTGTTCTGCTTCTTTAACCTATATGCCTGTTCTTGTGCCAGTACCAGGCTGTTTTGATTACAGTGGCTTTTTAGTATAACTTGTATCTGGTATTGTGATTCCTCCAATTTTGTTCTTTCTCAAGATTGCTGTGGATATTCAGGGTCTTTTTGGTACCATATAAATTTTTGGAGTGTTTGTTCTAGATCTGTGAAATATGCAGTATTTTAATAGGGATTGCATTGAATCTGTAGATTGCCTTGGGTAGTATGGACATTTTAATGATGCTAATTCTGCCAACCCATGAATATGGAATACTCTTCCACTTGTTTGTATCTTCCTCTATCACTTTTTTTCAATGTCCTGTATCTTTCCAAGTACAAGTCTTTTGCTTCCTTGGTTTATTGTTAGTATCTTAATTTTTTTGTTGCAATGGTAAATGGGATTGTTTTAGTTTCTCTAAGAATTAATTATTGATGTATAAAAAAAGCTACTGATGCCTGTCCAGTGTGGCTCAGTGGTTGAGTGTTGACCTACAAACCAGGAGGTCATGGTTCAATTCCCAGTCAGGGCACATGCCCAGGTTGTGGGCTTTATCACCAGTAGGGGCCATGCAAGAGGCAGCCAATCAATGATTCTCCCTCATCATTGATTCTTCTATCTCTCCCTCTCTGAAATTAATAAAAATATATTATGAAAAAAAGCCATTCATTTCTAGGTGTTAATTTGTTATCCTGCTACATTATTGAAATCTAGTAATTTTTTGGTGGAGTCTGTAGGGTTTTCTATGTGAAATATCATGTCATCTGCTAATAATGACAGTTTTACTTCCTCCTTTCAAATTTGGATGCCTTTTATTTCTTCTTCTTGTCTGATTGCTGTGACCAGGACTTCCAGGACTAGGTTGAATAAGAGTGGTGAAAGCAAATATTCCTGTCGTGTTCCTGTTCTTGGGTGAAATGGTTTTAGTTTTGCCCATTGGGTATGATGTTCGCTATAGGTTTGTCACATATGGCCTTTATCACATTGAGATATCCTCTCTTCCCACTTTGCTGAGAGTTATCAAAAACAAGTGGTGTATTTTGTCAAATGCTTTTTCTGCATTTATTGATATGACCATGTGCTTTTTGTCTTTAAATTTCTTTGTGATGTATCACATTTGTTGATTTGCAAATATTGTACCAACCTTGCATCCATGGAATAAATACCACTTGGTCATGGTGTGTAATTTTTTAATATATTGCTGGATCTGATTTGCTAATCCTTACCCCATGCAAAAACTGAATGGATGACAGTTTTTGCCTGAGAAAGATGACCTCCACAGAGTGAGGAAACCAGGGTGTCTGCTTCTGAGCTCTAACCTCAAAGCCCCTAACCCTTGCTTCTACTCACACAGCTCCAGTCCACTCTGCCCTCCCTCTGCCAGAGCCCAAGATAAGTGGCTGCACACAGGATTTGTGTGTTGGCTCTTTAAGAGGGTGCCTGAATTTCCAGCCGTCCCTCCCCGGCAGACAGCAGCCTTGCTCCTTTTCACAGCCAGAGGTAATGTGGGCACCTTTCTCAGTTCTGGTGCTCTCTGCTGGGGTGGGGTGGGGGAGCAGCTTAGGGCTTAGATGCCAGAGACAATGTGCCTTGGAGAAGGCCTTTTGGACTGAGGTAACTAGGTGTTCTGTTTGTTTCTTGGATTCAAGGACCTAGCTCTTTCCATAGGTTTGGGAAGTTCTCAACTGTTTGATAAGCTCTATTTCCTATGCCTACTAGTTCACTTTTCTCTTTTATTGAATCCTTCATCTCCAAGATTTGTTTGGTTCTTTTTAAAAGTTGTAATGTTTGGCAAAGTACTAATTTAGTTCATTGACTTTGAGTTCATAACTGCCTGTTTTCTTGTATCTTGTTTCTGAGAACTGAAATCTTGAATTCTCTGTCATTTAAATCAGTGGTCACCAACCGGTGATCTGTGAGGTCCGAAAGGTTGGCGACCGCTGACTTAAATCACCTATTTCCATGATTTTATTTTTGGGATAATTTTTATTTTGTTCCTGGGCTGCCATGTCATCTTGGTTGCTCATGGTATTTGATGGATTCCTCCTCTCTCTAGATATCTATGTATAAATGGCACTCCTCTAATAGATAAAAAGTCTTCTTATTGCTTTACAGGTGGTGGTGCTGAAGCAAGATCTTTAAGTCTCTAGCACCTCTGGCATTTCAGATGTATGTGCGGGTGGAAAATCACCTGTGTCCCAATAGAAGGTATGTGTCTCCTCTGTGCTCTGGTCATCTTGGTCTCAGAAAACAAATCCCCCAGGGGAATGTAGTGGCCACTGGGGTTCCAAATCCGTGAAATACCAGTGCTGCCCACTTCAGCCAGACGGTGCCAACAGAGAAGCTGTCATCTGTTGGTGTGGGGTGAGCTGGGAGAATTTGGTCACTTCCTTTGTTGCTTTGCTTTCCCAGTAAGGTTGACTGGCAGACATCTGTGGCATCACCTCCATGTCTCCACCCTACCCTGGGATTAGTCACATTGTGCCTGTCACTCAGGGAAAAAATTTCAGATAATGCGCCAACCCTCACTGCTATAGCTTCTTCTGGGGCCTGCTGATGGCTCTGGGAGGGTGAGGAGAGGTAGTCAGGCTCCATGGCTTTCTCTGTTTGGAATGCTGATTGTCAAAAAACTGGCCACACCTCTGTCCTTTATCCCTGCCTAGGTCACTGGGCTCAACAACCAGCAACCTTTCAGTGCACAGGCCAATGCCCAACCACACTCACCAGGGCTAAGTCCACACTTTTAAGTATCATTGATTGGAATATCAGATGTTATCTCATTAAGAAAAGGATAATTCATTGTATTTACCATATTTCTGCTCTTTCTGTTGGTATTTCAAGGTTTTTTCCTTTTCTATTTCAGTAACTTCCTCTAGCCAATTTTTAACAGGTCTTCCAGTGACAAATAATTTTAGTTCCAATTGTCTGAAAGTATCTTTTTTTACTCTTTAATAACTGAAGTACAGGGAATTTATAGTTCACAGTTTTGTCCCCCCCCCCCCCCCTTACTTACAAAATATTGTGCCACTAGTTTTTGGCCTCTAATGGGCAGGCAGTGTCTAACACATGGATGGATATTCTGAACGAAGGGATGATTCACAGACCAGAAAGGATGGAGGAGAACAGCTCAAGATTCATCACCTACTCAGACTGTGTGCAATTTAAAACTGATTTTTAAAAAAATAATTTTTATTTTCAATTACAGCTGACATACAATATTATATTAGTTTCAGGTGTACAACACAGTGATTAGACATTTCTGTAAGCTGAAAAGTGATCCCCCTAAGTCTAGTGCCCGTCTGGCACCAGTTACCACATTACTGACTGTGTGTTCCCTATGCTGTGCTTTACATTCTGTGACACTCCTATAACTACCAATTTATACTTTCTAACCCACCCCAACCATCAAAATGTTCTATTTCTGATTACTTTAGATTCCATATACAAGTGAAATCATATGATACCCGTCTTGCTCTGATTTCATTTAGCACAGTACGCGGTAGGTCCATCCATGGTGTTGCAGATAGCAAGATTGAATTTGAACCGATGGCCCTGGTCAGTGTGGCTCAGCCTCATGTTTGTGCATCATCACACACTGCGAGGCCACTGCTTGGATTACAGGTTGTAGACTCAGTCCCCAGTAGGGAGCATGCAGAAGGCAGTTGATCAATGTTTCCCTCACCCTTAATTCAATAAAAATATATTTTAAAAACAAACAAAAATGTTATGAATTATTTTTGAACCACAGTTGACTGTATAACTGAGACCATAAACAAACCCGTAGATAAGGCGGACAGGGGGAGAACAGCTACCCAAATATGGACTCTTTATTTTGGAATCCTTGCCTAGAGACTCTTGATTAGCCTGATCAAGGTTTTCTGAGAGTTGCAATGCAGTCTCAACTTTCTCTAATCAATCTTCCTTCTTTCTTAAATTTTCATGGTGTCAAATCTAAATTGTAGCCTGAAGGGTTCTTCTGCCTATGTTTTATCCCGTCCCCCTTTATCCCTTATGTATGTTTCCCCCAATAAATCTTACACATCTAATTCTGTTTGGGCATCTGTAAACATAGGGTTTTGGGAAGAAGTAAAATGAGATATTTATTTAGTACATTATTTAAAAAAAAAATCTTTTAAAAAAGACTTTTAAAGAGAGGGAGGGAGGGAGGGGGGAGAGACTTGTTGTCCCACTCATTTATGAATTCATTGGTTGATTCTTTTATGTGCCCTGATGGGGGATCAAACTTGCAACCTTGGCATACTGGGATGATGCTCTAACCAACTTAGCCCACTGTCTTAATACAGAAGTCACTATTAAGTTTTTGTGTTTTTTGAAGATTATACATTTCAAGTTTCAATAAACAATGGGAGAATGAATTACTTTTAACATATTTATTATCTGAGAAAGCTTGGTTATTTTTCTTGCTTTAATGGAACAACATATTCCATCAAATTATCCAAGGAAATCCAGATAATTATCCATTTCCTCAAGGTTTTAAAAGACCATAAAAGGATAAACATTATGCCACTTTAATAACTTTCTCCCTCTATACTTAAGGAATTCAAGTACAGAAATAAACTCTAGTGCTGAGGTAACATTCAAATCTTCTCCCAACATGACTACATAGGTGCTTAAGGTTAAATGTGAATATTGCTGTGAGGTTTTAAGCTACTTGATGAACCAATGCCACGTCACATTTAGACCAAAAGCAGCACATTTAGACCAAATGCACCTGAAAGGATTATTTTCAATACATGAATGTGTGTGTGTGTGTAGGGAAAGGTTGACTGAACCACACTGATAACAGAAAGTTAGAAGTCAGCCGTTGTTGGAAATACAGAAACATACACAGTCTTCGTGTTTAAAGTCTTCAGGGGAATTTCTTCTGTAATTTCTAGAGCAAAAAGAGATTAAAAATAAATAAATTTTCTTTCTATTCTACATACCATAAAAATGTCAGCTACCTGAGTAAGCAATAAATTTGGCCTCACCCCAAGAGAGGTCTGACCTTTCATCACACCTGATAATTTATGCAAGGGAGATAGCTGACTCAGGGGGGAGGAAGCCACACCAGAAAGATCAACCATATAATTCAAGGTAAAAGTAAGTTCAACCATGTGGGCAATGACTCAATCATGCCTATGTAATAAAGCCTCAATACAAAGCAAGGCACCAAGGGTGAGCTTCCCTGTGTGGGAGTCCACTGCACACTGGCATGCACCAGGGTCAGGAGAAGGAAACCCCGTCTATGCTCCTGGGAGAGGACAGCTGAAGCTCTGCGCCTGCACAGCTCTCCTATTTGGCCCTACACATTATTCCTTTCCCTGCAGTAAATGTAGTCATGAATGCAAACGCTTCCAGTGAATTCTGTGAAACCTGCTAACATACTGTCAAACCTGAGAGGTTGTAGTTGGTGCCAGAAGTGACAGAGGCCCTGTATGAAGCCCTCTCTCCACGTTTGTAGTTGGACCCGACTGCTTATAGCTGAGAGCTCATTCTTTGTTTAACTTATGAAGGACTGTGCCTCCACCGAAGTAATGCTGGGCATTGCCCCTATTGTCCTCATACCCCTCCCTCCATATCACACCACAGGCATTTCCTAGATACACAGAAAAGGCCTAGAACAAAACCAAGCCAGTGGGCCAGATTTGTGGTTTCTAAATATTAACTTTCAGTAATGGGAAGAAAAGCTATTTCCAGGTCTGGGGGAATAAGAGTACATGGTAAACCTAGGAAATGCCAGAAAACAAGAACTGGTTTTGTTGAACCACACTGATAACAGGAACTTGTCTAAAACTGAAGGGCTCATGTCAAAAAATATAGAACCCAATATGCCCAAAGATAAAAAATTCCAGTATCCAAAGTATAACACAAATGCAATTAATACCGAATATATAAAAACTCAGATTGACAAAAGTTTAAAAAGCTCTTTGCCTACTCTGCTGCATTTTGCTTCTACCCAGATCTGAATTCAAAGAAGAAATCAACTTTCTCTAAAAATGGCTCTTGTCCAAGCAGGAATCCTGAATGTAAAAATACTCTCAAAGCTGCCTCCTTAACAGATAGTAACTCCAGGATCTGGAGATGATATTTAGAATCTAGTGGAACAAGCAAGAAGGCATCAGTGAGTGTTTAAAACTGTGTGCATTACATGATCCTTCTATTTACCAAAATACTAATATTATACGAAAGACAGTATTTAGAGAAAAAAAATAGTGAAAATGAGGCCAAAGATAACAGCGTGTGTGCCGTCACCTGCTGTCTTGGTGACGGGCTTGATGACAGCAGTCCATGTGCCCAGTGTGGGACCCTGGCACCTATTTCTAGGAGAGACAGAGCAAAAATACTGTGTTTGTTCTAACCTCTCTGAAGGGCTTACATAAAGTACTTGTCTCTGTTTTGCCTAACTTGGAACTCGGTCAGGGTGGAAAGTGGTAGGTATTGCTTAAAAACATTATAAGGCAAACAAAAACCCCACAGCTGTGTGGAATAAAAGATTATCACTGAAACATACATAGGCTGTCTAAGGCCTGGGAGGAAAAGTAGGAGAGAGATTCTTTGGATAATTGGGGCTTTAACAATTGCCCGTGCATCCTGAGTAATTTTAGAAAGCTACATGCATGTCCAGGCCTGGATGTATAGACAAGAAAACACCTGAGAAGACCCAAAGCTTTCAATTCTGAAAAAGGTAAAAGGCTTTTCTGGCTAAATCTGGCTGCTCTTTAGGCTGAGTGCAAACAGAAGGTAAAGGCGGAGGCAGAGCTGTAAATAGTTTGGTTGTGCTGAATGAGTGGCCCATCACAAGCCAATCTCCAAAGACTAAGAGAGGTGGGTATTTTGTTGTTATGCTTTTAGCTCCTGGGGGTCAAGATAATCTGTTAAACAGTAGCTGAAAACAAGCTAACGGAACAGAGACTGCAATGACTACACACAACAAGGAATATGGTCTTCGCCATAAAACAAATGAACAATCACAGCTTTCAAAAATCAGAAATAGCCCTAGCCAGTTTGGCTCAGTGAATAGAGCGTCGGCCTGTGGACTGAAGGGTCTCAGGTTCAACTCTGGTCAAGGGCACATGCCTGGTTGTGGGCTCGATCCCCAGTAAGGGGTGTGCAGGAGGCAGCCAATCAAAGATTCTCTCTCATCACTGATGTTTTGATCCTTCTCTTCCTCCCCCTTCTTCTACCTGAAATCAATTAAAAAAAAAATCAGAAATAGCACACACCCTGGGGAGGGGGAGAGCCTAATATTCAAATGTCCAATTTTCAACATCAAAAATATCACAAGGCATACAAAGAAGCAGGAAAGTTATGGCACAGTCAGAGGAAAAGCTAAATAGACAGAATCTGTCCTTTAGAAAGCGCAAATATTTGAACTTACACTCTATAGTAACTCTCTTAAAGGGAAAACCACAAACCAATGAAAAGGCCAATGGAAGCCACAAATAATTAAAGAAATCCAAGAAAGCAATGTATCAACAAATTAAGAATATCAATAGAGAAAGTATAAAAGAAACCAAAGAGAGATTCTGGAGCAGAAAAGTAAAACAACTGAAATAAATTCACAAGAGGGGCTACTAGTAAGTAACATATTTGAGCAGTCAGAAAAATCAGTGATCTTGAAATAGAACATTTGAAATAATACAGTCAAATGGACTAACATATACATTATGAGAGTTTTGGAAGGAGAAGAAAAGGTAGAAAGAACATCTGACGAAATAGTGACCAAATCTTGAAAGCAACAAAAGAGAAACCACATGACAGGGATACTAATGAGTAGCCAATTTCCAATCAGAAAACATGGAAGCCAAAGGTAGTGGAATAACATATTTAAAATACTGAAAAACTATCAACATGAAATCTTTATCTGGCAAAACTGTTCTTCAAAATTAAGAAGAAGTAATTAAAGCATTCTCCAAAAAAGAGAAGTTGAGGGAGTTCATTTCCACTAAACATGGTAAAGGGAGTCCTTCAGGTTGAAAAGCAAGTGTGCTAGGCAATCATGTCAGTTCTAACTTTCCACTGTTATTTGACAACTAGAGGCCGGGTGCACAAAATTCATGCACCGCGGGGAGGGAGCTGGGGGAGAGGGCGTGTCCCTCAGCCCAGATTGCGAGAGGGCGCAGGTCAGGCCAAAGGACCCCTCCGGTGCAGGACTGGAGCTGGGGAGGGATGCGGGAGGGTGGCTAGCTGGAGAGGGGCAGCGGGAGGGCTTTAGGGCACATCTGGCCCATCTCACTCAGTCCTGATCAGCCGGACCCCAGCAGCCAGCTAACCTACTGGTTGGAGCGTCTGACCAATGGCGGTCACTCCACGTCATAGCAAGCGGTTGAGCGGCCTTAGCATATCATTAGTATATTACGCTTTGATTGGTTCAACGGCCGACCAGATGACTGGATGCTTAGCATAATAGGCTTTTATTGTATAAGACTAGAGGCCCGGTGCACAAAAATTTGTGCACTCAAGGGGTCCCTCAGCCCGGCCTGTGCCTTCTTGCAGTCTGGGACCCCTTGGGGGATGTCCACCTGCTGGCTTAGGCCTGCTCCCCAGGGGATCGGGCCTAAGCTGGCAGTCAGACATCCCTGTGGCAGCCCAGGAGCCCTCTGGAAATGTCCACTTGCCAGCGGCGACCAGGCCTAAGCTGCAGTCGGACATCCTTAGTGCTGCTGAGCAGGTGGGAGAGGCTCCCGCCATCACTGCTGTGCTGGCAGCCGTCAGCCTGGCTTGTGGCTGAGCAGAGCTCCCCCTGTGGGAGCACACTGACCACCAGGGGGCAGCTCCTGCATTGAGCGTCTGCCCCCTGGTGGTCAGTGTGTGTCATAGTGACCAGTCATTCCCAGTCGTTCTGATGTTAGGGTCAATTTACATATTACCCTTTTATTATATAAAAATAGAGGCCTGGTGCATGGGTGGGGGCCGGCTGGTTTGACCTGAAGGGTGTCCTGAATCAGGGTAGGGGTCCCCACTGGGGTCCCTGGCCAACCTGGGTGAGGGGATGATGGCTATTTGCAGCTGGTCACACACCCTTCAGGGTGGGGGTCCCCACTGGGGTGGCCTGGCCAGTTTGGGTGAGGGGCTGAGGGCTGTTTTCAGGCTGGCGGGTGACTGAAGCTCCCAACCGCTCCTTTTTTTTTCTTTTTTTTTACTCTGGGCCAGCTTTAGCTCTGAGGCTTGGCTCCAGCTCTTAGGCCTCGGCTGCTGAAAGCAGGTATCTGGTTTGTTTGGGTTCTATAATCGAAATACTGTTTCAACTCCAGCTCTGAGATCCCGGCTGGCTGAAAGCAGGTTTCTGGAGTTTGTTTAGCGTCTATATTTGTAACAATGTTTCAAACTGCAAGCTGAGAGGCCGGCAGCGGCAGGCGGGGAACGTTGGTTTCCTCCGTTACTGAAGCAAGCAAGCCTCATGCTTGCTTCAAGCTTCCTGGCTGCTGGGCGCCATCTTGGCTGGCAGTTAATTTGCATATCACCCTGATTAGCCAATGGGAAGGGTAGCGGAGGTACGGCTAATTACCATGTTTCTCTTTTATTAGGATATACTGGGATCATTTTAATCCTTGGGGAAGAGAATAATTTAGAATCAGCAAATTCAGAATATGCTAATTTTCCTAGAAGCATATACAGGATGGGGCAAAAGTAGGTTTACAGTTGTTCATATAGAAAATAATGCAAAAGAAAAATAAAACAAAAATTTAGCATGTTCTACAATCTCACCATCCATTTGAGTCTCATTCAGAAACAGCTTTAGCTTCCTGCTGCGAAGGCCAAACATCTTGGCTGCTTCATACAGAAGACCTTCATAGGTGAGTCCATTCTGCCCAAGTGGGTTTTCCAGCAGGAGGGTGCCCACTGTTCCCATTAAACACTCTACAGAAGGAAGAACAGACTGGATTAAACCCCGAGAGTCCACACCATCATGCTACAGCATCCCTAACGGAGGGGGTACTGCTGCAGGCTTGGAAAGGCAGCTGTTGAGTGTAGGATGCCAGTGGGACAGTTGTACAGTTTGCAGAAAAGTCTCAAACATCTTTTGCAGAAAAGTCTCAAACATCTCCCAGAGGGAAAGGGGAAGGAGAAAAAGAAAACCCATCAGTATAAAAAGCCCTGCAGCTTGGAAAAGAAGTATTCAGCAAATGCAAAACGAAGAGCCTGAAGGCTTCAGTAACCAATGTGTACAATGAGAACACCAAACAACTGGAAAAAACTAAGTTTTCAAAACACTTTCCAAGAAGAAAAAATAAGGCTGAATTAAAATGTGTTGGCATTTAAACATTTCAGATTTAGCTGTAACTTTTACCTACTCAATTTATCTCATTTCCTTACCGTATCAGATGGATAAGAGTACTTCTACATAAATAAAGCAAAAGAAACAAGCCTGTGTGTGTTCCTTTAAATTAGTACATTAAAGCCAATGTGAAAAATCCACACAAGTCACAGAGGTTGAAAATTAAAGAAAACCTTACCATCCAACACCCCACCACTCACCTGCTGAAGATGTTTACAACTAGGGAAGGCATGTACCTTGTGGGTCTGCATTCAGGAGCTGTAGGTTGATATACCGACAGAGAAGAGTACCAGGACTGTCAATCACAGAGGGAGCTGGTCCTGCAGTCACACCCAGCATCTTTCCACTAAGACTCAGTAAGTCGGTTTGGTTTTGTATTTCTACAAATAACAAAAAATAGTAAAAGACATCATTCTTTCAGGGACAGATAGTTTATATACCTGAAGTCATTCACTTTTCCATATTTATTAAACTACCATATGTGTATCTTTACAGTGATACTTTCTACTTGTTTATGAAAGGACACTGCCTTTTCTATAAAAGCACATGCAATTAGTAGGAAATGTTATTGGTGCAAAATAAATGGCATAATATTCACAACCTAAAATGCAAACTATTTTGTTCCCCTTTAGTTTTTTCCCTGTATAGCCGACTCTTGAAAATGGGTAGGACTGCAGACTTTTTCAATAAATACAGTTGGCCCTTTCTATACACGGGTTTTGCATCCAAGGATCAGAAACAGTATTTTCACATTCTCAACTTCAGATGGAAAATACTGTTTTGTCTGAAAGTCAGATGTGGTTTACAGAGCCATGTATAGATGCCTGAATCACAAGGGGTGGACGGTGGAGATTTAACTCTGCTCCCTTAGCTAAGCTAAAAGCTTCCCAGAACTTTCTGACTGTCCTGGATTGGGTTAGGAAAAGGTGCACAGGATTTTAGTTACAGCCACTGTTTCCTAAGGCCAATGTGGGGCCCAGGCACCACTCAGCTTTCAGGAACTGCCACTCATAGGGTCAGAGGGGAGAGCAACCGGCCTACACTCCTGTGCCCTTCTGACGTCCGGGCCAGGTGCACAAGCAACTCGCTTGCCAAGGTGCTTCTGCAGGGCCTGCCAGTGTTAGATGTGCCTGACAGAGGAGCTCCAGCCTGTCCTTGCTGACCTCTACTTCTCATCCCAGAGACTTCAGGGACAGGACCAGCCCCCCTAATCAGACGCCCTGGGTGGATCCAGGTCACAGATTTTTCTCCTATCTTCCAACTAGCCGCCGTCATCCAGACTTTTACTTCCTGGCTTTCTCTCTCTCATCACTTCTGCTTCCCTTTTTCAACCCCTGACAGATAGGACGGCACATGGTTTTCCATGGTGGTTCTATCCATTTACAATCCAGCAGGGAATGGGAGTTCCTATTACACAACACCTTTGATGACATTTAAGGCTGTGAAATTTTTCTAGTTTTTGCCAATTTGGTATCAAGTAATAGTACCACATTGTGGTTTTTACTACTGAGGTTCAGCAGGTATTCTTTTAGTTACTGCCCATTTAGATGTTCTCTTTTAGGCTATTTAAAAGTTTCTTAAATAAGCATTCAGGTTCATAAAATGAGTATTATTAGTTTCCTACATCTATTGCCAAGAAACGTAAGTTAGGGGACTTAAAACAACAGAAATTTATTGTCTCAGAGTTTGAGGCAAGAAGCCTGAGATCAAGTGTCAGTAGGCCCTCGCTCCCTCTGATGCCTTTTGGGGAACCCTTTCCTTCCTCCCAGCTTTGGAAGCCCCCAGCAATCCTCTCTGTTTCTTGGCTTGCACCTGCACAATTCCAGTCTAGGCCTGTCATCACACAAGGTCTGTGTGTCTTCCCACAAGGACACCAGTCCTACGTAATAGGGCTCACCGCACCTCATCTAACCACCTCTGCAAGGACCCTATTTGCAAAGAAGGCCCATGGTACTATGGGTAAAAACTTCAATGTATCTTTTTGCTTTCTTTCTTTTTTGGTGGATTGGTCTCACATTTCAACCTGTGACAGTGGGAGAGAATGTACTTACAACTTTTAAAAATTCTATTTAGGCTTATCTTACCGAGAATCTGGATTTAGCAAGATGCAGACACTATGTTTAAGAAAGTTAAAACACCCCAGGGAAGTCTGTGAAGCTCAGAATCCTGCACTTGGATAACAGGTGAGAGAGTAGGGGGAGCTGTCATCTCCTGATAAGGATGGTGTTCTTGCTGCCATATGCATAGGCAGGCACTGCTGAAGAGCCGGCCTGACTCACACACTCCACCTGTGTCAAAGGCCATGGCTAGCTTTCCACTTTCCACACACCTGTTTCCCCGTGGAAGAGCGCCAGCTCTGTATTCTTCACACCAAAAATGCTAGTAACAACACTCTTCAGCTTTAGGAGGTCTAGCTGATTATCACCTTTAGGATTTTCCAGAAGCAGTACTCCACCTAAAAAGCCAAAAATATAAGTAAATCTGAAGAAAAAGGTAAATGTGAATGTAAAGTCAAGGGCACAGAGTGTTCAGCTGGCCTTTCTTTCTTTTTGAGCGTGTACACCATGCGCTCTCAGGATGCGTGTGGGCAGTCCTGGGTGTGGTGTATTTAACATAAGTGGAACGAGCCAGAAGTAGCTCAGTGGCATTTCCTCCCATGTCCTGTGGGGATTATAGAAGAACAGAGTGGCACACAGCTGGAGACAGAAAGAATCTCTTTCTTCCAATGCCTTTTTAAAAAACCTTTTAAATTTAGTGTTATGTCATTTTTAATCCTCACCTGAGGATGATTTTTACTTAGAAAGAGAAGAAAGGGAGAAAAAGAGAAACATTGATCTGTTGCCCCCCATAGGCACCCAAACTGGGGATTGAATCCATAACCTGGGTTAGTGCCCTGACCAGGAATCAAACCCGGGACCCTTTGCTGCACGGGACAAAACTAATCAACTGAGCCACGTGGCCAGGGCTGCATTTTTTTTTTTTTTTTTAACATTTTCATTAATTTCAGAGAGGAACGGAGGGGGGGGGGGGAGAGGGAGAAAGAGAGAGAGAGAGAGAGAGAGAGAGAGAGAGAGAGAGAGAGAGAGAAAGATCAATGATGAGAGGGAATCATGGATCAACTCCTCCTGCATGTGCCCTACTGGGGATTGAGCCCACATGGGCCCTTGACCAGAATCGAACCCAGGACCCTTCAGTCTGCAGGCTGACGCTTTATCCACTGAGCCAAACTGGCTAGGGCCATTTTCTTTTAAACCATGTTTATTTTACTCTCTGTGGATCAGAATGGGTGATTTCTATTATTATATCCTCCAGTCCACGGATTCTTTCCCATATCCTTTAAACTGTTGTTTAGCTCATCCACTGAATTTTTGTACTTTAGTAATAGTTTTAAGTTCTAAAACTTCCATTTGATTTTTCCTTTCTTTGCTGAGACTCTACTTTTCATTTTTTCCTATTGTGTTTGTAATTATTCTGGGAAACATTTTTATTATGGCTGCTTTATATTGTGGAATAATTTTAACATTTCTGTTATCTTGATGTTCATTCACTTATAATGATTGCTTTTTTTCATTAAGTTTGAGATCTTCTGGTTCTTCTCTCTTTCCAGCCGGTGCCAAGCCATGGGCATCTCTCAGGACAACTGGCACAAGCGCCGCAAGACTGGGGGCATGAGAAAGCCCTACCATAAGAAGCGAAAACATAAGCTGGGACTCCTCGCTGTCACACTAAGATTGGACCCCGCCGCAGACACACAGTCCGAGCTGGGAGGCAACAAGAAGCATGAGCCTTGAGGCTGGACGTGGACAACTTCTCCTGGGGCTCAGAGTGTGGTATACGCAAAACAAGGATGACTGATGTTGTCTACAATGCACCCAGCAACAAACTGGTCTGCACCAAGCCCCTAGTACAGAACTGCATCGTGCTCGCTGACAGCACACCGTACCGACAGTGGAACGAGTCCCACTGGGCACTGCCCCTGGGCCACAAGAAGGGGGCCAAGTTGACTCCTGAAGAGGAAGAGTTTTTAAACAAAAAACGATGACAGAAAATTCATAAGAAATATGATGGAAGGGAAAAGAATGCCAAAATCAGCAGTCTTCTGGAGGAGCTGTGCCAGCAGGCGAGCTCCTTGCCTGCATCGCTCCAGACCAGGCAGGTGTGGCCACGCAGAGGTCTGTGTGCCCGAGGGCAAGGACCTGAAGTTCTATCAGGAAAGTCACGGCCCAGAAAGGCAAGTGACTCCTCTTCCCGCCCATCTTGGCTCAGGTAACCAAGGTATTTATTCAAAAAAAAAAAAAAAAAAAGATCTTCTCAGTTCTTGGTATGATGCATAATTTTCAGTAAAAACCTGGACCTGGTTTTATGAGCTGGCTCTTAATTAAATTCATTTCAGCTGACCTTGTCTGACATCACAATGTCAGGGGAAAGCTGGCACTGCTTCACTGCTGCTTAGTGAGAGGATAAGTCCAGGTTTCCTATCACTGACACTCCTTGTCACTGCTGGGGTATGGGGACAAGGGAGTTCCGACTTCTCTCTTGGCATTCAGTGATAAGCCCTCCTGGCTACGAAGAGTTGAATGGCCTCCTCGCTGCTCCCCAAATGGCCTTCAATGATAGCTTGTTAGGATGTATGTGGCCTCATTACCACTGGGGAAGAGATGCCTTAGTACACATGCCTGAGTAGGACGGAAGTCCAAGCTCCCCACTTGGTCTTCTCTGACACCACCATGGCGGTGGGGCTGGGAGCTCCTCAGCTTGGCAGAGGCAGGAGTCTAGGCTCCCCACTTGGCGTGTGAGAAGTAGTGAGGCTACAAATGTTCTGTTATGTTCGCGGGAAGAGAACAGTTGTTGTCTAAAAGTTTTCCGACTTCCTGGGTTTCTGCTCTCTTGGTCCTTCATCTAGAGAGAGCAGGATTTTGTCGGAGTGTTTGTTCATGCTCACTGGCATTTCCAGACTGCCAGCTTCTTCAACTCCAAGTCTGGAATACATATGAGGCAAAAAGAAAACCCAGAGAACACAGTGCTGTTTTGTTGCTTGGTCCCTAGGTCCCTGGCTGGTGTGCCTTCTTCCCTTCCCTTGTAAGAGTCTTGGAAATGTAAGCTGCAGTTTTTCTTTTTGTACTGCAAGTACAAAGCTTAAGCTTTGTTTGCCTAGGAGTCCATTTCAAAGACAGCTACGTCCAATACACACATCACTAAGCCACTTGACTGGACAAAGAGCCAGGCTGAGGTCCTGCACTGCGGCTCCTTTGTTTTAGGGATCGTGGTTGACTTCAATAACTGACATTTGAGCTACTTGTTTTCTCTTCCAATGCTTTACATCCCCACGCTTATGTTTTTTTAAAAAAAATATATTTCATTGATTTTTCAGAGAGAGGAAGGGAGGGGGACAGAGAGCCAGAAACATCAATGAGAGAGAAACACCGATCAGCCGCCTCCCGCACACCTCCCACTGGGGATGTGCCCACAACCAAGGCACATGCCCCTGACTGGAACCGAATCTGGGACCCCTCAGTCCGCAGGCCGACGCTCTATCGACTGAGCCAAACCAGCCAGGGCCCCACGCTTATGTTTTAAGTTCACCAATAACCCAGACCCCACAACCTTACTGTGTGGCCCCATGTGAGCCGTGTAATGTCTAGGTTTTGTTAGGCAGAAATCTGCATATTCCCAGTTTCCTGATGGTTATTGCTGAAGGGTGTCTTAATCATAGTAAGAGTCAAAAGGCTGGTCTACCAATACCCTTGGTTATTGACAGGCTGGGACAGTACAAACAGTCTTCTCATGTTGATTTTTATAATGATGCGTGTTTATAGCTGTACTTTGTTGAAGGAATAGGGAAAAGTACATCTACTCTATCATCCTAGTGGTGCAAGTCTAAAAATTTACTCTTGTGGGTTCCTTTTTAAAAAATATTTTTATTGATATTTGAGAGAGAGAGGAAGGGAGAGGGAGACAGAAACATGGATCAACTACCTCTGGTACATTCCCTACTAGGGATCAAGCCTGCAAACTGGGCATGTGCCTTGATGGGGAATCGAACCAGTGACCTCTTGGTGCATGGGACAAAGTTCAACTAACTGAGCCACATCACTCAGCTTTTGTGGGTTCATTTTAAAGTATATATATATTTTTTTATTGATTTCATAGGTCAATGCTCAACCACTGAGCCATGCTGGACATGCTGTGGGTTCATTTTGATAACAATTAAAAAGAAAAACTTATAGTTTTACCAACCCTATATAATAAAGAGCTAACATGCAGCCGGAACCGGTTTGGCTCGGTGGATAGAGCGTCGGCCTGCGGACTGAAGGGTCCCAGGTTCGATTCCGGTCGGGGGCATGTGCCTGGGTTGCGGGCACTTCCCCAGTGGGAAATGTGCAGGAGGCAGCTGATCGATGTTTCTCTCTCATCGATGTTTCTAACTCTCTATCTCCCTCCCTTCCTCTCTGTAAAAAATCAATAAAATATATTTAAAAAAAAAAAAAAAGAGCTAACATGCAAATGGTCATCACGCCCTCGCGCTGGAACTGCTCAGACATTCAACAAGGGGGGAGAGAGGAATGGAGACCAGCCAAGCACAAATGAGGTCGAGAGAGAGGAATGGGGACCAGCTGGGCACAAATGAGCTCACAAGAGAGGAATGGGGACCAGCCGGGCTGCGGCCCAGGAGAGGGATAAGCTGTCCGCTCCATGGTTCCGGGTGCCTGCGGCTGCGGTCCAATGAAGCTGCCTGTCCATGGTCCCCTGCTGCGACAGGCCAGAGGAGGGAATCCTGGGTCCCGGGTGCGGTGCGGGGCGAGGCAGAGGTGGTTAGGGGTGATCAGATAGGCAGGCAGAGGGGATAGGGGCAATCAGGCAGGCAGGCAGGCAGGCGAGCAGGTAGTAGCCAGCGGTCCCAGATTGTGAAAGGCAGTTGGACATCCCCTGAGGGGCCCGGATTGGAGAGGGTGCAGGCCGGGCTGAGGGCTCCCCCACAGCACAAATTTCGTGCACCAGGCCTCTAGTTCTATTATAATCGCTTCGAAGATATTCATAGGTTTAAGTAAGAAATAAAATACAAACCATAGAATTATTTACTCTTACCTTGCTCACTGCCATTTGCACAAATGTGAAGATTGACATATGCACAAGCAGGGCCAGGTGTGGAGGATCCCCTGGTGAGTGTAATTTCCAGGTCAGACCCCTTTAACTGAGCAACAGGATGAAGTGATTGTGTAATTGCAGCATCTGACCACAGGGTCACAAATAACATAGCAACCATTTCTTTTTAAGAGCAAGAACTTTCTACAATTCTGAGAGCATATTCAATCCCATCAATAAAACAGTCAAGGGCTATATCCCCCCCCTTTTCTTTTTACCTTGTTTTTTAAAAATATACAAAAAATAGACAATGAAACCATCTTGTAAACTGCCCCACTGAAAAGACAGCCATTTCCAGCCCTTACCTGTCTATCTTATTTGCCCTATACCAAGTCGGAACAACATAGGAATCAAAAGATTCAATAAATCACTGATAGATTTTCTTCCCCTGTTCTAAATGACCAACTCCGGGCCATGCCTTGTTATCAGATTTCCATAGTCACCTCTAAAATGTACCAACAGGAAATGAAATTTTAGTTTCATGTATAACCTACTACCTTAAAAGTTAATTGCTTTTCAAGTCAATTGCAGTTTAACAGTAATTCTCAGAACCATGACACTGACTTCTGCAGTTTCAGACACAACTGTAACTCCTGGCTGCCTTCCTTCCCCTCTCCTGTTCTGGACGTCATCTCTCTGAACCTCCTGACTGTCATCCAGAACCATTGCTAACGGGGAGACAGAATTATCAAGATGTGAGCACATAAACTTAACTAAAATCTATAACTAAATCTCTTAATAGTTCCATAGAACTCACCTGCATTTTTTCCTGAATAAGGATTTTATCTGCTGTAGCGACTGGATATGGTTTCAAGGGAGCCTTTATGGTGGCAAATATGAACTCCATGTGGCTTTCAATAATGGTGCTCAGATAATTTCCTTCAGACTTTGCTGTGTAATAAACTGTTATTTCATCAGTGGGAACCAGATTGCACTGAAAGCACATACAGAAAAAGTAAAATGGGAAGCACTTGATTAGTCAGCAGGTAAGATGCTGTTGAACAAGGGCTGACAATTCCATGCTGAGTCATCGTGGAAGGGACCAGTCTTCGTCCTGCTCTCCTGGGAAACGAAGGCAAAGGTATAGCGCAGTGAGAGCCACTCCCAGAGCTCTGTGCTAGCCCAGGGTTCCAAGCGCCTGTTTCTCTGCTGGAATTGGCCTCCTCAGACCCTGAACTACAGATTTCAAACCTGGCCTTCCGAGGAGGGCTGGTGGGTGCTCTCCTAGGGATAGCAGCTCCTTGGCTCCCTCACCTGGTTAGGGCAGACAATGGGCTCGGCCCCCGTGTCCTGCTCCCAACTTCTGAATAAGGAAGGATCAATCCTTCTGTCCAGATACAACCCTACCTCCCCTGAGCCAGAAGCCCTTTGATGCTGATCTGACTGCACCTCCCCTCTCACACAACGGCCCTCTCATGGCCTTCTGCGCCCGCCAGGAGGGCTATGGACCTGGAAGATGGTTTTGTGGAAGCTCAGGGAAGTGGGAAAAGGAGGACAAGTGACACAGCTGGCTGAAAGCTCCCAGAGAAACAAAACACCCGCATCCAGCCTGGGAGTGAATAAGCAGGGAGGGGGGCCCATCTCCTGTAGAGGACCATCTGAACAAACTCATGTTCATTAAGTCATTACCTACCTCTCCCAACCTCCCCAACAAATAAGATATAAACAAACAAAACTCCAAATCAGCAGCTTACTCTCAATGTGACAAACCTTTTTGCGAAGTTTCTGGATACGATTGATGACTTCCCGAGCCACCCCTTGATCCACCATCGCCTGGTCAGGGGTGACGTCTAAGAGAACCAAAGCCTGCAGGAATGAACAGAGCATACCATGACAATCAAATAGAGAAAAACAGTTCTTTCAAATTCAGCAAAATGCTATTTAAAACTAAGTTCTGAGAAGTCTAACATGTAGCACTATTTATTCACAAAACTAAGCAAAGAACACAGTTAATCTAGTTTCTTTATAGTTCGGTTCCTGTTTGTAACCAGCGTCCTTCATATCTGGAGAAAGGGCAGCTTTCCCTTTTTCTTCTGCAGGGTGTGCTCACAGGAGACTGTGAGACTGGTCTGTTAGTCTCTCAACTCTGCTTTTTTGGTCTGTTTAATAAATAGTGCCAATTCTTGTAATAAAAATATCAGTAGTCATAAAGCCTGTAGAACAGCTTTTCAAATGGATCTACCACAACAAATGAATTAAAGGCAGTACCTGCCAGTTTCTTAAGCCATGACCCCTTTTTATCCTTTGGTTTATCAGTGGGATTCAAGAAGCAATTTCTACAATGGACACAGTTCTTTTTTTATATGAGTTTAAATTTCCACCTTCTTGTCAACTTCGTCTACTTTTCTCTCTCACCTATTCTGAAGGTTGTTAATGATGATGTACTAATATAAGTATCACTTCTATTAGAGGGGAATATACTTATAAAGTAGGTAAGATCACCATTTATTGTAAAGGAAACTCAATCAGAGAAGTTAAACTTTGTGAAGGTGCAGAAGTCAGCACTGGAAATGGATGAGGAGTCAGGCAGGGTGGTGGGCCCACACTGACAACTTTAGGCCCTCCCTCCCATTGGCTGGAGCCCGGAAGGACTGCACCTGCTGTGTTCACAATCCTCCCTGCCCTTCTGGCTACCTCGCCTTTGGCTCTGTACCAGTCTGCCTACATGTTGTCTACAACTAGTTTAAGCCCTGTGCAAAGGCTTGAAGAGGCTGGCCTCTTCAGACAAGGTACTCCTCCCCTCCCCTCATCTGGCATGGTAGCCACAGAGGGCCTCCATCAAGCCCCCATTCCCACAGTGGAGCCCAACAACCTATCTACCCCGAGAAGTCTGATCAGGAGTGAAAGGAGATGCTGTGCTCCATCACAATAAAAATGTTGACCCCAGAATCCAAAACTGCCCGCACTCCCTAGCCATCTACCCACACTCGATAGGAGCTCTTCTCTGGACTTATTTCTACCAGATAATTTATCAGGCAGAATAACATGTGGCTCACTCTCCTATCTCCATGACTGGCTTATTCCTTTAAGAGTGGGGTAACATCTGACTCCTTGTAGTATGACCCAATACTTAGGACAAGTACTCCCATGTAGAAGTCACAAAATATCTATTTATGCACTGGTTAAAAGACATATGTAAAGAGCATATCATAGAGGAGTTTAATAAGCCAATTTAAAATGAATAACTGGTTTGTTTAACACCAAGCAAGACAAGCTGTTAATAACACTTTCAGGAAAGGCACAGGTACAATATAATTTCTCCAATATGATCTTATCTTTTGATCAAGAAATGCTCTAGGGCACAGAAAAATACCTGAGCGTCCGAGTGTGCTTCAAACTGGGCTGTCTCAACTGTTGCTTGATCAAAGGTGTACATAAGGCGAATGTCATCTTCATGCAATTCATGGCCTTCCACAACAATGGACCCTAGCAGAGATGCAACTGCCACTGTTAATCAGTCCCTCTTCCTCCACAAACTGTCCTGCTACAAGTACATTGTGCCTATACAGAGGCTTCATGATATCAAGTCCTCCTGACCCAATGTCTATGGCTGTATATAAACTCCCAGGTCCAAAGACATGCCAGGAGGCCATGAATCCCCACCTTAAATACAGACGTCATGATGTAATGAAGGATGCAGTCTTTAGAGCCAAATCAAACGAAGGCCCACCCCTCAATGATGGTAGGGCCTCGGTCCCATTGTGTGCTGAGCAGTGTGCCATCAGGTAGGTTAAATGAGGTGAACAGTATGATATTCTCAGTGTAATTCCTGCCAGCCCAAGCAGAGGAACCACCAAGGCTGGCAATTCCCATCTTCAGGAAGCCCGTGTGGTTACCATTCATGTTCTTCGTCTCTGAGCACTGAGCTGCCATTCTCACTTCCTGTCACTGGGATCTCAAAATTATTTTGCTTTCCATCAGTGCAGATCAGTCTATTCAGAAACTACAGTTTAAAAATGGCCGCCTTTTGGTTTCAAATATGATGTATTTCAGAAATTTTTGATATTTTGGCTATCTGATAAAACAACTTAGATTCACAACTGGAAAGATGATCAAAGATTTTATTAATTTAATATATCAAGTTAAATTAGTTATGACTCAACTTTTAGTTGCTAGCCTCTCATGTAAGATCTCCAGATAAATTTTATCAAAAAATTTGAGGAATCCTAAGGACATTTCCATCAGTTTCCATCATCACTCATCTGAGCTGAGTCTTTAAATATCTTTTCATGTCACTTCTGTGCTTATGATTTTCAACTTTAGAGGGAGCCCTTAACTTCCAAAACCTTGCATCCCCAGACACAGCTGCAGATGGCTGTAAAGAGGCCGATCATGATTCTAATCATGGCAGAGCCGATAACTTCTGAACCCATGGATATGAGAGCTGACTCCTTTCCTAAACTCCTCAGTGTCCCACAGGTTTCCATCCCGGCACTTATCAAAACAACCATTACCTCCATATGTCTTCCACGTCAACCAGCACAATGAGGGTGAGGACAATGTCTGTCTTATTATTATTAAACTCGATGTTGCCAGTGCCACCCAAACAGAAGGACTCTGAGTGAACAGAGCCAGCCTTGGCCAATTAAGAGACCAGTATGTGAATTCTAGAAATTTTAGAGAAACTGTGACAGGTTCTGACTTAAGTCATCATCTCCCCCACCTCCTCCCAATAGCACCCCTAAGGGTTCTTTCTGCTTTTTCTTTGACGAGGGTAGATTTTCTGTGCCCACATTAACATTTGTAGAATTCAATGGCAACCATTTGATTCTGTAATTTCTACCTAGAAATTTAGTCCAAAGAAATCAATTTCACAAAATATTCAGATGAAATATTCATTGAAATATAACATGGTATTAAAAAGAATGAAAAAAAACCCCATAAGGTACCAATAATAAAAGACTGATTAAAACCATTATCAGATATCCATATGAAGGCAAATTAGACAGTTATTGAAATGGGATTTTAAAATAAACACTTAGAAAAGTTTATAATATATTATTAAAAATGCAAAATAAGCCCTAACCGGTTTGGCTCAGTGGATAGAGCGTCGGCCTGTGGACTGAAAGGTCCCAGGTTCGATTCCAGTCAAGGGTATGTACCTTGATGTGGGCACATCCCCAGTAGGAGGTGTGCAGGAGGCAGCTGATTGATGTTTCTCTCTCATCGATGTTTCTAGCTCTCTATCCCTCTCCCTTCCTCTCTGTAAAAAATCAATAAAATTGATTTTTTTAAAAAGTAAAATAAAAAGGGGAAACAAAATGCAAAAATGAATGAGAAACAAAATTTAAAGTTACAGTGTGATCTGTTTCTATGTAACTAAAAGGAAATGAATCAGAATTTTAACAGTGCTCCAGTACCTAACATATTATATACTTCTAAAATATGTGTGTGTATATTTTTTATTGATTTCATATATCAATAATATATATTTATATATATATATAAATAAATAATTGATTTCAGAGAGGAAGGGAGAGGGAGAGAGATTAAAACATCACTGATGAGCCCTAACTGGTTTGGCTCAGTGGATGGAGCGTCGGTCTGCGGACTGAAGGGTCCCAGGTTCGATTCCGGTCAAGGGCATGTACCTTGGTTGTGGGCACATCCCCAGTGGGGGTTGTGCAGGGGCAGCTGATCAATGTTTCTCTCTCATCAATGTTTCTGACTCTCTATCCCTCTCCCTTCCTCTCTGTAAAAAAAATCAATAAAATATATTTAAAAAACAAACAAAACATCATTGATGAGAGAGAATCATGGATCAGCTGCCTCCTTAACGCCCCCTACTGGGGAACGAGCCCACAACCCACGCATGTGCCCTTGAATGGAATCAAACCCAGGACCCTTCAGTCTGCAGGTCGACGCTCTGCCCACTGAGGCAAACTGGCTAGGGCTGCACCTAACACATAAAACAGCAGAGAATAGGCACTGAATCTACATCACATGAACGGATGATGAGTTAGGGGTGATTGTTATTGCCTTCTTTAAGTTTTTCTAAATTATCAGAATTATTTCTAATAAACGTTTTTCTTGAAGTTTATGACAGTGAATGCCAACCAGAAGCCTCCCTGAGCCAAGGCTCCATCCGCGACCCTCACCACGCTTCTGGAACTGCTCCAGCTCCTCACTGCTCAGCTGCTTGATTGACGTCATCACTGCCTTGAAGGCTCCCTTCAGCCGCTTCCCCAGGATCATGTGATCTGGCTCTGCCCTTAGGCGAATACCATACTTTTTTTTATCTGTAGACAGTGTAACTTTTCGAACATTCAACTCCTATGATTGGTAGACAAGATGAAAAAACAAGGGAAATAAAACAAATATCAAAAAATTGCTCACAAATGTTGATAGTAACATTATTTACAATGAACAAAAAGTGGACAAACTCAAATGTCCATCAACTGTGAACAGAGCTTAGAAAATATTGTCTATCCAGCCCGAGCTGGTGGATAGAACATCAAACTGCAAACTGAAGGGCCCGGGGTTTGATTCTGGTCAAGGGTATGTACCTTGATCGCAGGTTCCCTCGCCCTGGTCAGGGTACGTGCAGGAGGCAACCAGTGAATGTGTCTCTCTCACAATGATGTTTCCCTCTCTCTTTCCCCCTCTCTCCCCCTCTCCCTTCTACTCTCTCTAAAAATCAATGGAAAAATATCCTCAGATGAAGATTAACAACAACAAAAAAGACAAACAAATGCTGACAGCAATAAAATTATTCACTAAACAAAAAGCGGACCTCAAATGTCCATCAACTGTGAACACAGATAAAAAATGTCGTCTAAACAGCCCGAGCTGGTTTGGCTCAGTGGATAGAGTGTCGACCTGCAGACTGAAGGGTCCTGGGTTCAATTCTGGTCAAGGGTACATGCCCGGGTTGTGCGCTCAATCCCCAATAGGGAACATGCAAGAAGCAGCCTATCAATGATTCTATCTCATCATTGATGCTTCTCTCTCTCTCTCCCCATCTCCCTCCCTTTCTGAAATCAATAAAGATATATATATATTTTTTAAAATGTGGTCTATAGCCCTGACCGGTTTGGCTCAGTGGATAGAGCGTCAGCCTGCGGACTGAAGGGTCCTAGGTTCGATTCCGGTCAAGAGCATGTACCTTGGTTGCGGGCAAATCCCCAGTAGGAGATGTGCAGGAGGCGGCTGAATCGATGTTTCTAACTCTCTATCCCTCTCCCTTCCTCTCTGTAAAAAATCAATAAAATATATTAAAAAAAAAAAATGTGGTCTATCCATACAATGGATTCTTATTAAATATTAAATATAAAGAAATGAAGCACTAATTCATGCTAAACATGAATAAAGTAGGTGTCAGATACAAAAGACCATGTATCATATGATTCTATTTATAGGAAATGTCCAGGGACAGAAAACAGGGGTGTGGCTGACAGGGATGGTGGAATGTTGAGGAGAAATGGTGCATTAATTTAAAGGATATGGGACTTCTTTATGTGGCGATGAAAATGTTATAAGATTGTGGGACTAGTCGCACAACTCTATAAATTCATACTAAAAACCATTGAAATGAAAGGTATGAAAAAAACGTTTCCTGTCCTGCTCAGTCAAAATAGTTGAGCATAAAATCAACTAAAAACAAATCTAGAAAAAGGTTGTATCTCTCAAGGTAGGTAACCTTTGCTCAAGCCATTTCAGAGCACCACATGTTAACCACTAAGCAGAATCAGTTAACCAAAACATTTCATGCCTCCATCAAGCTATTCAACATCACTAATGCAACAGGAACTGACAGCACAGGAAATGTGACTGAAGCAAATTGTAAGGAAGTGTCTAGTTTTCCCATTATACATAACTGTGTTACATGACCTTATTATAGTGATTAAGATGTTCTATTTAAATATATTCTATTTTTGAGGAGAACCAAGATGGCGGCATAGGTTAACGCCGGAGTTTGCTGCCTTGAACAACTACTTCAAAAGTGAAACTAAAAGTCGGAAGGGACATCACCCAGAACCACAGGAACACTGGCTGAGTGGAAGTCCTACAACTAGGAGGAAAGAGAAACGCATACGGACACTCAGAGGAGGCGCAGTGCTGAAGTCAAATTCTGAGGTGCGGAGTGCGCGGAGCAGGCTGGCGGTGGAGGGCGCGGTTGGCGTTTTCAAACGGGAGGGAGTCGCAGACTCTGAGCTCCAGATACGGGCGAGTCTTTAGGGACCCAGACTCAAACGGGAGAAGCGGGACTGTCTGGCTTCGGTCAGAGCGAGTGCAGCTTTCTCTCCGAGCTTTGCAGCGGGTGCTGGGACTCAGAGAGGCAGAGCCCCTGGGGACAGGACAGAGAGCCGCCATAACTGCTCTCTCCGGCCCACCCTGTTGATCCTGTGCGACCCGCCCCGCCCAAGCCCTGCACAGAGGCATTTGCCGGATAGCCTCAGGCAAAGGCTAGATTAGCACCTCCCTAGAGGACAGAAGTTCTCTCACTGCAGACACAGCTGATTCTCACAGCCACTTGGCCCGGAGGTCAAACCCTCCCTGGTATTAGCTACAACAAGGTTTAACTATAAGACTGCGAACAAAGACCAAGAGGGGGTGCACCAAGAAAGCATAACAAAATGCAGAGACAAAGAAACAGGACAAAATTGTCAATGGAAGATATAGAGTTCAGAACCACACTTTTAAGGTCTCTCAAGAACTGTTTAGAAGCTGCCGATAAACTTAATGAGATCTACAAGAAAACTAATGAGACCCTCGATGTTATGTTGGGGAACCAACTAGAAATTAAGCATACACGGACTGAAATAACGAATATTATACAGACTCCCGACAGCAGACCAGAGGAGCGCAAGAATCAAGTCAATGATTTGAAATGCGAGGAAGCAAAAAACACCCAACCGGAAAAGCAAAATGAAAAAAGAATCCAAAAATGCGAGGATAGTGTAAGGAGCCTCTGGGACAGCTTCAAGCGTACCAACATCAGAATTATAGGGGTGCCAGAAGATGAGAGAGAGCAAGATATTGAAAACCTATTTGAAGAAATAATGACAGAAAACTTCCCCCACCTGGTGAAAGAAATGGACTTACAGGTCCAAGAAGCGCGGAGAACCCCAAACAAAAGGAATCCAAAGAGGACCACACCAAGACACATCATAATTAAAATGCCAAGAGCAAAAGATAAAGAGAGACTCTTAAAAACAGCAAGAGAAAGAAACTCAGTTATCTACAAGGGAATACCCATACGACTGTCAGCTGATTTCTCAACAGAAACTTTGCAGGCCAGAAAGGAGTGGCAAGAAATATTCAAAGTGATGAATACCAAGAACCTACAACCAAGATTACTTTATCCAGCAAAGCTATCATTCAGAATTGAAGGTCAGATAAAGAGCTTCACAGATAAGGAAAAGCTAAAGGAGTTCATCACCACCAAACCAGGATTATATGAAATGCTGAAAGGTATCCTTTAAGAAGAGGAAGAGGAAGAGGAAGAAAAAGGTAAAGATACAAATTATGAACAACAAATATGCATCTATCAACAAGTGAATCTAAGAATCAAGTGAATAAATAATCTGATGAGCAGAATGAACTGGTGATTATAATAGAATCAGGGACATAGAAAGGGAATGGACTGACTATTCCTGGGGGGGGAAAGGGGTGTGGGGGATGTGGGAAGAGACTGGACAAAAATCGTGCACCTATGGATGAGGACAGTGGGTGGGGAGTGAGGGCGGAGGGTGGGGCGGGAACTGGGAGGAGGGGAGTTATGGGGGGGAAAAAAAGAGGAACAAATGTAATAATCTGAACAATAAAGATTTAATTAAATAAATAAATAAATATATTCTATTTTTATCCACATCTGCAAGCATTACTTACAAAATTTATAACTCTTTACTTTCTAATATTTTTCTGTAATTCTCTAGCAATTCAAAACCAGTATCCTGTATAGTAAAAGGCTAATATGCAAATAAACCGAACAGCAAACAACTGAATAACCAAACAACTGGTCGCTATGATGTGTGCTGACCACGAGGGGGCATGCACAGAACATGGCAGGCATTGGCCATGGCTGGATGGTGGAGCAGGTGAGCAGGGGCGCCACACCAAGGTGGGGCACTGGTCACTGTCATCAGGGCAAGCCTATGGTGGTTTCTGAAAATACTTTGCTCCCACGTGCTGCAGTCCCGCCCGGTGCTCAGACCGGCTGCCAGTGCTGCCAGTGGATGGAAGCAGCAGCTCTGGCACCGTCGGTGGGTGTAAGTGGCAGCTGCCGGCCCTGATCACCCCTGAGAGCTTCTCCACCTCCCCCTGCTCCCGAGGGGCAATTGGGGCAGCAGGCACCGCTCACACCTGCTGCTGGCATTGGCCCCAATCTCTCCGTGCTGTCAGTAGGTGTGAGCGGGACAGCAGGGGCGGGTATGCCCTCAGACAGGGGACTGGGGGGCCGCGGCGGGAGGGATCAGGCAGTGGCGCAGGGGGTGGGCAGAGACCTACCCCTGTGCCCACTGCAGCCTCATGGCCCACAGTTCCTTTCAAGGTGCATGAATTCCTGCACTGGGCCCCTAGTAAATATTATAATACTAGACGCCCAGTGCACGAAAACTTGTGCACTCTGGGAGGTCCGGTCCCTCAGCCTGGCCTGTGCCCTCTCGCAGTCCGGGAGCCCTTGCTCCTTACTGACCGACTGCTCCCTGCTCCTTAGCGCTGCCTCAGAGGCACTCTCACCACCACTGCACTCTCCAGCCCTGAGCCCAGCTTCGGGCTGAGCAGCGCTCCCCCAGTGGGAGCGTACTGATCACCAGGGGGCAGTTCCTGCATTGAGCGTCTGCCCCCTGGTGTTCAGTACATGTCTTAGTGAGTGATTGAGTGGCCTTAGCACATCATTAGCATATTAAGCTTTCATTGGTTGAATGGACAACTGGACACTTAGCATATTAGGCTTTTATTATATAGGATTTTCTACAATACGATATATTTATTTTTAAATCATCATGGAATAAAACCTTTTTGCAGGATAACTGACAATATGTTAAACTCTTGACCTCAAACCTTCCCTTCTGGCAATCTATCCAAGGTCCATACTCTGACACAGGCACAAAGATACACACAAACCTTTTGTTTGTAATGGGAAACCTAAATTTCCAACGATAGGAGAGATAGTAATTATGATACAGCCAGAAAGTGAACATGATGCAGCTGCAATACGAAGAAAGTACATCTGTATGTTCTAACCTGAGATGCACTTTACTGTGTGAAGAGGTCTATAAAATGCTAGGAACAACCCTGGCAGAAGACAGCCTAGTGAACAGGCTTAGGAGGGGTGAGAGTGCAGGGAGCAAATGGGATATGAAGGACTATGTCAGAGCTTGAACTGTTTACAAACCGCATGTTCACTTGTCACATAGATAATCTGAAGGAACCAAGTTTTTTTGTTAATTATCAGCAAGTACTTTAGGGAAGAGAAGTGGATGAAGGTATAAATGATCCAATTAAGGCAAGGAAATTAATTGACCTTGAAATCTTTTTGTGTGTTTGTGTGAATCCTTACCTAGGATATTTTTTTCCATTACTTTTCAGAGAGTGGGAGGGAGGAAGAGGGAGGGTGAGAGAGAGAAACATTGATGCAAGAGACACATCAACTGGTTGCCTCCCACACACAACCTGACCAGGGGTGGGGTGTAAACCCACAACCCAGGTTATGTGCCCTCGACCTGGAATGGAGAATTGAACCCATCACCATTTGGTGCACAGGCCAATACTCTAACCACTGAGCGGCAAGGACAACCTTGACATAATTTATAGAGAATTAAAATAACAATGTGAAAATTGATGATGATTCTTAGCAGCAAGGAAATGTTCAGAGTTAAATTATGTATATAAAAAATAAAAAAGGATAAATTATACACTCAAAGTGTAGTTTATCGGAGAGTCCTAATCAAAATAGTCTCCTCAATGAAAGAAGTCTGCTTAGACCCAGGGACAAATCACATGCCTTACCTCAATAATATACTTCTCCAAAGATCTGATATCACCGAGAGCTTCTGGATCTTGATGGATAACGACAATTTCTTTCAAAGGATACTAGGAGGAAAAGACAAGAACCAGTTCACTAAGCAGCCAGTCCTCACAACCAGAGAAAAATGGAACGTTAAATATTTTAATCTAATGTCAGGTTCAAAGAATAACTAGGCTCAACTTATATTAAGTCATTCATACCCTTACTGTAGAAATGAATAAAAACTGCCATTGCTGGAAGCTCTCTATACAAAGAAAATACTCAAAGACATAATTATTTAGGTCTGTGCAATGTAAAGTAAATAGAATTTCAAACCTTTATTGGAATAGTTTTGCGGTCACGAATCACTCGCCCAAGTTCAATCACAGACTGCATTCTAGATACTGCACTCTCTGTTTTCTTGTCAATCAATTCCTCTCTGATTAGAAGAAGGGGGGAAATAAAAGGTATTAAATTTAAAGGAAAAAATCCCGGGGAGGAGGGGAACGAGGATCAAGATGGTCTACATCGTGAACGGACAAGTGTTGGACAGCGGGAGTCAGTCCCCATGGAGATTATCTTTAATAACAGATTTCTTCTGGGAAATAGCTGAATTCGTGGTTTTGTTTTTCAAAACTCTGCTTCAGCAAGATGTGAAAAAGGGAAGAGGCTACGGAAACTCATCTGATTCCGGATATGATGATGGAAAAGGGCCCCCAGGAAATCCTCCCAGAAGAATGGGTCGAATTAATCATCTGCGTGGCCTAATCCTCCTCCAATGGCTGGTGGATAAGGAAGGTAAATGTCTGCTCTAAGAAGCAGACGACTGGACATGCACATTCATAGCGGAAGGAAACCATCAAGCAGTGAAGGGCTGACCAGGCTGGACAAGTAAATGAATGTGTATGTCTAAACAAGAATTACTCTGTGTCCTCACAGACGAATGAGGGCCTGTTGGGAATTCCCTCACAGGGATCTGGCATGACTGACATGCAATTCTATAAATGCACATGTTTGTCTCATTATCTTTTTGTACAGTTTATTGAAAGTATTAATATAGTTTAATACGTAAATATTTTTAGGTTACATAATTGACTACTCATATTTGTATAATTAAAACTCCAAATTTGAAGAAAATTAAAAGCCTATTTATTTAGTACTGTTGGTGTCCTTTTTCAACTTCTGAAAGTGTTCATTGTTAATTTGTTCTCATTTATAAATAAATCACATTGTATTTAAAAAAAAGAAAAGGAAAAAATCCCAAACAATAGGCATGCCTACATAAGGAAGAGGGACAGGTTAAAGATATGATGGTGTGGCTAGGCCTACTGGTGAGGCACTTGGGGAAGGACAGTGTGCACTGGCCCTGGGGGTACATGGCAAGAAGTAGGCGGCAAGCTAGAGTCTCCTGGTCAGTACCCAGCAGCTCCCCTAGGTGACTTGAACAACCTGGTCACAGCACACGTGCTGCAGTGCTGTAAGTGGTTTCACACTGAGCATCCCCATTTCTACCTATTCTGTACCCTTAGGAGCAGCTCAGGTGAGAGGCATGGAACCAAGAGGCCAGCTAGGGCCCCCACACCAGTGCATCTTTGGCAACTTCCCTTCCCATGGTCCCGGTGAGGCTTACATATATTTGATTCTTCTGTTTGTTTGTTTGTTTTTTTCTTGTTGTTAATCCTCAACCAAGGATATTTTTCCCTTTGCTTTTTAGAGATATGATGATGGAAGAGGGAAGGAGTGTAAGGGAGGGAGTGAGAGGAAGTGGAGAGAGAGAGAGAGAGAGAGAGAGAGAGAGAGAGAGAGAGAGAGAGACAGAGAGAGACAGAGAAACATTGATGTGAGAGATGTTGCCTCCTGCACGTACCCCAACAGGGGCCGAAGATCAAACCTGGAACCCAGATACGTGACCTTGACCAGGAATTAAACCCATTACCCTCTGGTGTGTCGACCTATGCTCTAACCACCAAGTAACTGGCCAGGGCCGTATTAGATTCTTACCGAACACGGGGCAGCATGAGGTAGTGGATGCTGAGTGTGTCCTTGTCCTGGACAGAAACAGGGTCAATCAGCATCTTAAGATTCTGGTACATCAATTCAGTAAGAAAAGGGGTATACGGGGCCTATTAAGGACAGAGCAGAGAACATCATGTCATTCGTATGCAACCATCATTAGCTGACCTCAGAGTGGAAAATGGGAAGTAAACCTTTTCGAGAAAGACAGATATCTGCAGAGAAGTGGGCATGAGTTAACTAAGCATGTACTACGAAAGAGAGGACCTCATTTTGACTTAGGAGAGAGGACCTTCCTGTGAAGCACAGTGGAGTACAGCCAGGACCCAAAGCATCCTGGAGGATTTCTGCAAAAAGAAGAGTGACTATCCTATGTCAAGACAGGACAGAAAAACCCCAAGTAAACAACATTGGTCTTAAGGTTCTAGAAAAAGAAGAACAAAAGCAGTCCAAGTTCTGGAAGAAAAGAAAAATTAGAGCAGAATAAAATGAAGTGGAGAACTAAAACACTACACAAAAAATTAATGAAACAAAGAGCTGCCTCTATATAAAAAGATTAATAAAATTGACAAATTCTGGCTACACTCATTACAGAACAAAAAGAGAAATAAGCAAGATGAGAAATGAAAGAGAAGTTACCACAGACATCACAGAGGATCACACTAAAATAGACCACCAAATTTAATAACTTGAAAGAAATGAGTAATTTCCCAGACATATAGAACTGGAAAAATCTAAATAGACTAACAGTGAGGAAATTGAAAGAACCATCAAAAATCTCCTGGTGTGGCTCAGTGGTTGAGCGCTGACTCATGAACCAAAAGGTCCCCGGTTTGATTCCTGATCAGGAGACATGCCTGGATTGTGGGCTCTAGCTCCAGTAGGGGGGTGTAGGAGGCAGCTGATTGATGCTTCTCTCTCAGCCATGTTTCTATCTCTCTAAAAAATCAATAAAAAACAGACTATTCAAAGAGTGAACCAAGATAGTGACGCAGGAAAATGCCAGTACTTGCTGCCTTCCACAACCACATTAAAATTATAACTAAAGCCCTAGCCGGTGTGGCTCAGTAGTTAGAGTGTTGGCCTGGGGACTGAAGGGTTCGATTCCGGTCAAGGGCACATGTCCGGGTTGTGGGCCCAATCTCCCCACTAGGGGGTGTGCAGGAGGCAGCCAATAAATGATTCTTTCTCATCATTGATGCTGCTATCTCTCTCTCCCTCTCCCTTCTCTGAAATCAATAAAAAACAAATTAAAAAACAAAACAAGGGATAAAAAAATAAAAATGATTATACACACACACACACACATACATATATATAACTAAAATACAGAACAACCATCATTCAGACCCAGTTGAAATCTGGCTGAATGGAAGTCCTACAACTAGAGAAGTAAATAAGAAAGCACATGCCACACACAAGACCCCTCAGTCCAGGGTTCCAGTGCTGGAAAGAGAAGTCCCCATAACTTCAGGCTATAAAAACAAGCAGGGATTGAGGCTGAGTGACATGGAGTACCAGCAGTTCCTCTTAAAGGGATGATACACAGACTTACTCAGACTTGCTCCCTCTGAGCTCCAGTGCTGGGGCAGTGGCTTGGGGGGGATCCAGGGACATATGGGAAGGAACTGGATTGTCTGGCAGCAGAGCAAGAACTAGAATGTCGCTTTCTCCCAGAAAGGAGTGCTCACAAGGGTTCATCATTCCTATGCTGAGACCTCCCTCCTAATCCCTCCCGTCCCAGAGCTGACTGACAGGTGTCATATCTGTCTCCATCAACCTTGCTCACACTGTTCGCTACACCCTGGTGTTCTAAAACCCTGCCCCACTCAATTTGCAGCCCCACGTAAGCTATTTGTAGTGGCTTCTCCATATGAATGGCCTGTCCTTGCTCAGGCTTCAGTCTTTCCTAAAATAGCTAAAACAAGCAGAAGCTGGCATCAGCATGCTCCATACCTCTTAATAAGAAGCCCAAGACCCAGCATTAGCAGCAGCATGCCTTGCTTCACAGCTGGGCCTCACCTGGGCACCTCCAAGCCCAATACAAATAGCAGCCATCTGCAGATCACTCTGTAGCTCCTGCCAGTGCACTCAGTGGACAGCTTCAGACCACACCGTATTACAACACTTCACATACACAAGTAACACATGCAAGGAATCTAATGAACAAAATAAACTGATGAATAATATGGAAACAGAGGCATGGAATCCTGAAACAGACTGATGAATCTCAGAGGGAGGAGGGGAGAGGGTGGTCGGGACACCTGTAATACTCTCAACAATAAAGATTAAAAAATAAGTAAGTAAATAAACAAAAGGTTTGAATATTCAAAAAAAACCCCAATGAAAACATAAAAGAACAAACAAGAACAAACAAGCCATAGCCAGTTTGGCTCACAGGGTAGAGCACTGGCCCAAAGACTGAAGGGTCCTGGGTTTGATTCTTGCCAAGGGCATGTACTTCAGTTGTAGGCTCAATCCAGGACCCTGATTAGGACACGTTTAGGAGGCAACCAACTGATGTGTCTCTCTCACATTGATGTTTCTCACTCTCTCCCACTCCCTTCCACTCTCTCTAAAAAAATAAAAATCAATGTAAAAAAAAAATCTTGGGTGAAGATTAACAAAAACAAACCAAAACAAAATATAAACCAAACTAAACTCCCCACAACAAAATAAACCTCCTAAAATCCAAAAGTGCAGGACCAGATAGCTTCACCAGTGAAGTCTATCAAAAATTCAAAGAATATTTAATACATATTCTGCTCAAACTCTTCTGAAAAACTGAAAAGCCAATACTTCCTAATACATTTTATAAGGCCAACATAACCCTGATACCAAAACCTGGCATGGATAACACAGAAAAATAAAATTACAGACCAATATCTCTGATGAGTACAGATGCAAAAACCCTAAATAAAATACTAGCAAATCGAATACAATAGTACATTAAAAAATAATACACCATGATCAAGGGTTCATTCCAGGGTACAAGGATGGTTCAATATACACAAATCAACTTAGCCTTTTATATATACAGAATAAATTTGCTTAATTAGACCTGCTTTCTGATTTTGCTAAACTTTTTCCAGCCCAGTGAAGCACCCCAACTTCTCTTTCAAGTAATTGTCAACAACACAGCAGTAAATATCAACACAAAGCAGATTATTATTGTAGATCATATAGAGAGAACAAAGGGTAAAATATTTAACTGCAGCAGTGTTTGACTATATTCTGCACAGTGAGAAAACCTGAAGTCATTTCCAAGGTCCATCATTTCTAATTTCTTTTCAGTCGGGTCAAGTTTCTAAACTTTCTAAATCTCTGTTTTCCAGCTAATGAAAAGAAAATAGAATTCCACCAAGTCTCCTATCTACCTACTCCAGGACTTCTGTGAAGATCAAACAAGATGAGGCTCAGGAAAACGCTTCACAGACATTTAAAGTGTGAAATGTTTGCACCTGGCTATAAAGTAAGCCATGTTCCTGAGCTGAAAAAACTGCAAGGAGGCTAGTCATCACTAGGGAGAGGAAGCCGGGCGTTGCTACGTGATGTCATTACCTGGCGCCCACAGCAACTGTTTCCAGGCTGAGCTGGGTTGTGGGCTGCATTTTGCGCCATGGGGTCTCGGCAGCATCAGCTTCGATTTGGTGGGCTGTCGCTCTGGGGTGGTGGTGGGGCCTGTGTCCCACTTGGGGGAAGCCACGTGCTGCTTTGTGGGCGCAAGGTCCGCAGTGCCATTTCTCTGTAAATGGCCAGTGCATTGAGCATCTACCCTCTGGTGGTCAGTGCGCTTCACAGCGACCAGTTGGACACTTAGCATAAAAGCCTAATATGCTAAGTGTCCGGTCATCCATTTAAACAAAGAGTAATATGGTAATGATATGCTAAGGCCGCTCAACCACTTGCTATGACGTGCACTGACCACCAGGGGGCAGACAGTCGACTGGTTGAGCAGTCGCTATGATGTGCACTGACCACCAGGGTCAGACACTCTGAGTGGTAGGTTAGCTTGCTGCTGGGATCTGCCTAACCAGGACTGAGCGAGATGGCCGCATATACCCTGGACCCCTCCCGTGATCCATCCCTGGCTGGCCAACCTCCCGCGTCCCTACCCAGCCGTGATAGTGCACCAGTGGGGTCCCTCGGCTTGGCCTGAACCATCGCGTAATCCGGGACCCCTAGGAGGATGTCGGAGAACCAGTTATGGCTCGATCCCACAAGCATAAAAGGCTAATATACAAATTGACCAGTCGCTATGATGCGCACTGACCACCAGGGGCAGACACTCAACGCAGGAGCTGTCTCCTGGTGGTCAGTGCGTTCCTACAGGGGGAGCACCGTTTGGCCAGAAGCCGGGCTCACGGCTGGCAAGCGAAACAGCGGTGGTGGGAGCCTCTCCCACCTCTGTGGCAATCGGACATCCCCCGAGGTCTCCCGGACTGCGCGAGGGCACAGGCAGGGCTGAGGGAACCCAAGTGCACGAATTTCATTCACTGGGCCTCTAGGATAAAATAGTACTGGAAGACCTAGCCAGAGTAATCAGGCAAGAGAAAGAAATAAAAGGCATTCAATTTGGGAATGAAGAAGTGAAAGTGCCACCGTTTGCAGATGACATGGTTCTTTATATAGAAAACTCTAAAGACACCACCAAAAAACTATTAGAAACAATGAACAAATGCAGGAAGTGGCAGGATACAAAATTAATAAACAAAAATACACTGATCTGCTTTCCTATATACTAACAATGACATTTTAAAAACAAACTAAAAAATGAACAATAACAAAAAATCCTTTTGTAATTGCAACAGAAGTAGAATACTTGGGAATAAACTGGACAAAGGATGTGAAGGACCTGTACACTGAAAACTGCAAGATATTATTTAAAAAGTTTGAAAAAGACATAATAAATTGGAAAGGTATTCCATATTTATGAATTGGAAGAATCACCATAGTTACAATGGACATATTATCCATAGCAATATACAGATTTAATGCAATCGCCTATCAAAACCCCCATGGCATTTAAAAAAGAAATAGAACACAAAATCATCACATTTGTATTGAACCACAAAAGACCCCAAACATCCAAAACAATCCTGAGAAAAAAGAACAAAACTGAAGGTATCACACTCCCCGACTTCAAATTACACAAAGCAACAATAATTAAAACAGCATGGTATTAGCAGAAAAACAGACACAAAATTTAAGGAAACAGAATTAAGAGCTGAGTCCAGAAACAAACCCACATGTATGCGGGCAAATGATTTTTGACAAAGGAGCCAAAACATACAATGGAAAAAAGAAAGACTTTTTAATAAATGGTGCTGGGGACTTTAGAAAGCCACATGCAAAAGAAGCAAATTAGTGTTTATCCATATATCTTAGAACTTAGGTACTAAATTTTATGGACCTTGGTCTTACGGAGAATTCTATGAATTTGACTCCAAAGGTAAGGGAAGTAAAAGCAAAAATAAATGAATAGGACTATATCAAACTAAAAAACTTCTGAACAGCAAGACACCATGAACAACAACAACAACAAAAACAGAAAGGAATGGTGAAAATATTTGCAAACAACAGCTCTGACATGCAGTTAATATCCAAAATATATCAAGAACACAACACTGAAGAAATAATCCAATTACAAGAGGGACAGAAAACCTGGACACTTCTTCCAAGAAGACATAGAACTGGCCTACAGACATATGAAAAGATGCTCAACTTCATCAGCTATTAGGAAAATGCAAATCAAAACTAGAATGAGTCACCACCTCACACTTGTTAGAATGTTATTATCAATAAGAAAGCAATAACAACAAGTGTTGGAGAGGTTGTGAAAAAAAAGGAATCCTCATTCATTGTTGATGGGAATATAAACTGTTACAGCAAATATGAAAAACAGAAACAGTACGGAGGTTCTTCAAATTTGTTAAGAATAGAGTTACCATATAATCAGCAACCTCTCTTCTGGGTATCTAGCGGAAAAATTTGAAAACATTTATTTGCAAAGATATATGCATCCCTAGGTTCTGTGCAGCAGATTCATGGTGGCCAAGACATTAAAACAACTAAAGTGTCCTTTGATCAATGACTGGATTAAGAAGAGGTGGTACATATATAAAATGGAATACTACTCAGCTGTAAGATGAAACACTGTCATTTGCAACAACATGGATGGATCTTGAGAATATCATGGAAGCAAAATTAAGTCAGACAGAAAAAGCTAAAAACCATATGATTTCACTCATACTTGGGATATAAAATTGAAAACAACAAATGAACAAATAAGAAAAACAAACAAACAAAAACTCACAGACACAGGTAACTGTATAGTTGTTATTGCAGGGAAGGGGGTGAGAAAAGGGGTATCAAATAAATGGTGACAGAAGATCTGACTGGGTGGTGGACACACAGTGCGATATACAGATGATGTGTCATAGAATTGTACATTTGAAACTTATATGATTTTAATAACCAATGTCACCCCTGTAAATTAATTAACAAACAAAAAAAAGGAGTCACTGACCATGTGCCAGCAAAGTCAATATAAAAAGGACTCAATGTCCCCAAAAGTCAGAACCTCATCTGCAACCTGGGGGAATACAACCTGCTTCTTAGGATAAAAATGAATGAGAAAAGATGTGAGGAACCAGGCACGAGACCTCATACAAAGCAGACTCTCATTCTGTGTATGTTTAGGAAATATACAGAAGGCACCTAATTGACAATGCAGTAGCCCAGTGGTCGGCAAACCGCGGCTCACGAGCCACATGAGGCTCTTTGGCCCCTTGAGTGTGGCTCTTCCGCAAAATATCACATGTGGGCGCGCATGTACAGTGCAATAGAAACTTCGTGGCCCATGCGCAGAAGTCAGTTTTTGGAAAGGAGATAGACGAAACAAGTATACAAAATGAGTGTAGATGGGAGAGTTGGAAGGGGTCGACCTCAGCGAATGTACCTTAATCAGATTGAGGACGTTTTTAGCAAAGGCCAGTTTAAGAGTACCCTACTTAAGTTAATAACAATGTACCTACCTAGATAGTTTAAGTTTAAAAAATTTGGCTCTCAAAAGAAATTTCACTCGTTGTACTGTTGATCATTGGCTCTGTTGACTAATGAGTTTGCCGACCACTGGAGTAGCCGAAATAGGATATGAGGAATTAAAACAAGTACAAATATACTGTATGTTATTTAATTAATATTTTAATTGGTAGGAATATGTGTCAAGTAAAACAACTGTAATATGTTTGGCGAGATGTCAGTTCAAGAGCTTCACTGTGACAATGACAGTGAAGAAGAGGTCCAATATTTAGGGGAACTTTGGCAATTCAATCTAGATGCAAGAACCTTGACCTGAAACATACTGCCAGTGGTGAAAAGAAAAAAAAAATCCAAATTGTTTTACAGTATTAACTTTTCACCACCTTTATTTAATTTTCCCATCACCATTTATCCCCCCTAAACCCTCCTTTCACCTCCCCATCAACCTCCCCCTGAAATCACCCCAAAACCCAACTTTTGAAACTATTGCTTGGTCCTTACTTGACACACATAAGATTTCTGAAAGGAACTAGAGATTTAAGTTGCTTTAAAACTCAATTTCTATTTCCGGTGGACCAAATACAGAATACAGACAGAGGACATGAAGCAATAGGGCGCTGTGAGCAGCCCACAGGACGAGTTATAGAATGGGGCAAAGAATCTTACCATCAGTCTGCACAGAGAAAGCAGAACACTGAACAAGGTTTCCAGGGCCGTAACACAATCCTCCATCCCATTTTCGCCCTAGTGAATAAAAAAGAAACACATACTGAACTGTTAAAACCAAGTAAGAAATTTATTAAAAAGAGACAATTCAGCCCTAGCTGGTTTGGCTCAGTGGATAGAGCATCGGTCTGTGGACTGAAGGGTCCTGGATTCGATTCAGTCAGGGCACATGCCTGGGTTGCAGGCTCGATCCCCAGTGGAAGGCGTGCAGGAAGCAGCTGATCAATGATTCTCTCTCATCATTGATGTTTCTATCTCTCCCTCTCCCTTCCTCTCTGAAATCAGTAAAACTGTATTTTAAAAAAGGAGAGACAATCCATAGGGAGCACATAACTAAAGAGAGAAAGAGAGAGAGAGAGAGAGAGAGAGAGAGAGAGAGACAATCCCTAGGGAGTACACATTGTACAGACAGGACAGAGAGAGCAAGGAGATGTGACTAGCACAGATGATCTGGGGCCAGGACAGAAAGCCAGGATGAGACCCTTACTCCCTCCCATACCACCTGAGGCCAAGCTAATGGAGAAGGGCTCTGTAACTGTGAGGTAAAGATGAGTTAAGAGAACCCGATATCTGAGAGTGGGATTCCCACACCATGGACAAGTAGTTGTTAACCCTTTGAGTGCCAATCAATATCCTAGGAACTATGCTAAAATTGCCAAGGCATTTTTGCTGATTTTACAGCAGTTTAGGAAAAAAATTGTGAATCACAAGTAAATGAAGCTACATATTCAGTATCTTCCACAAAATCGTCATCTTCACAGCAAGAATTGACATATTTAGCAATATCATCATCACTAATAAAAGCAGACCTATAACTGGACACTGCAGGAGGAGCACAATAGCGCTCCTGGCACTTTTGGCAAAAGACAGGAGTAGCTTGATCGCGCTCCCTGGCACTCTAGGGGTTAACATAAAAATTTAAAGCACTTTTAGGTAACTTTTAAAAAACATATATACTATGTATTTAAAAATAATTATATTGATTCATTATTAAAAAAACAAAGATAAAAAAGAACACTCAACCATAATTATGTTACCCAGAAAAAATTACTGTAAACATTTTAATGCATGTCCTTGTAGATTTTGTGTGTATAAAGACATACATGTATACATGTGCACATTTTAACAAAAATGAATTACTTCTGTTCTGGGCTTTTGTCATCAACACATTTGAAGGAAAAGCTAATGGGTAGCCCTAGCCAGATTGCCTCAGTGGATAGAGCACTGGCCAGCATACTGAATGGTTGCAGGTTCAATTCCAGTCAAGGGCATGAATCTCAGTTGCAGGCTCGATACCCGGTCACATGTGCGAGAGGCAATCAGTCAATGTGACACTCACATTGATGTTTCTCTCTCTTTCTCTCCCCTTCCCTACACTCTCTCTAAATATCAATGGAGGATTTAAAAAAACAGAACACCCACAAACAACAAAAATGATGGGCGGTAGGCACCTAACTGGCCTTTGGTATGGGTATGTCCTGTATTATATAATCACTAGAGGCCCGGTGCACGAATTCATGCACTGGTGGGGTCCCTCAGCCTGGCCTGTGCCCTCTTGCAATCTGGGATCCCTCAGGGGATGTCAGAGACCCAGTTTTGGCCCAAACCCCACAGGCCAGATCTAGGGACTATACCTGTGTACAAATTCATGCCCTGGGCCTCTAGTATGCATATAAGATCTTTGGTAGTCTCTTCCCACCCTCATCCTCCTCCCCTCTGAGATTCATCAGTCTGTTCCATGTTTCCATGCCTGTGCGTTGAGCATCTACCCCCCGTGGTCAGTGTGTGCCATAGCTACTGGGTGAATAGTGGCCTAGGCTTTTATATATATAGACTAGAGGCCTGGTGCACAAAAATTTGTGCAATCGGGGGTGTCCCTCAGCCCAGCCTATGCCCTCTTGCAGTCTGGGACCCCTTGGAGGATGACCACCTGCTGGCTTAGGCCGCTCCCTGGGGGATCGGGCCCAAGCTGGCAATCAGACATCCCTCTGGCAGCCCGGCAGCCCTCGGGGGATGTCCACTTGCGAGCGGGGAGCAGGCCTAAGCTGCAGTCGGACATCCTTAGCGCTGCGGAGGAGGCGGGAGAGGCTCCCACCACCACCGCTGTACTGGCAGCCATCAGCCTGGCTTGTGGCTGAGCAGAGCTCCCCCTGTGGGAGCGCACTGACCACCAGCGGGCAGCTCCTGCATTGAGCGTCTGCCCCCTGATGGTCAGTGTGTGTCATTGTGACCAGTCATTCCCAGTCTTTCTGCTGTTAGGGTCAGTTTGAATATTACCCTTTTACTATATAGGATAGAGGCCTGGTGCATGGGTGGGGGCCAGCTGGTTTGCCCTGAAGGGTGTCCCGGATCAGGGTGGGGGTCCCGCTGGGGTGCCTGGCCAGCCTGGGTGAGGGGCTGATGGGTGTCTGCAGGCTGGCCACACCCCCTTCAGGGTGGGGGTCCCCACTGGGGTGCCTGGCCAGCCTGGGTGAGGGGCTGATGGCGGTTTTCAGGCTGGCTATACCCCCTTTAGGGTGGGAGGTCCCCACTGGGGTGCCTGGCCAGTCTGGGTGAGGGGCTGAGGTCATTTTCAGGCTGGCCAAGCCCCCCGGTGATGGAAGCTCCCAGCCTCTCCTTTTTTTCTTTTATTCTGCGATATATTTACCTTCTATAATTGAAACGTTGTAGCCTTGAGAGGAGCTTAGAGCTAGCTAGGGCAGGTGGGAGGGAAGCCTCCTGCTCACTCCAGCTCCGTGGCCACGGCCTGCTGAAAGCAGGTATCTGGGGTTTATTTACCTTCTATAATTGAAACTTTGTTGCCTTGAGTGGAGCTCAGAGCCGGCCGTGGCAGGTGGGAAGCTTGGCTTCCTCCATCATCAGGGCAACCAAGCCTCCTGCTTGCTCCAGCTCTGTGGCTGCCAGCCGCCATCTTGGTTGGGTTAATTTGCATATAGTCACTTTGACTGGCTGGTGGGTATGGCTTAAGGCATAGTGAAGGTACAGTCAATTTGCATGTTTGTCTTTTATTAGTGCAGATAGAAGATTGTTTATGCATGGCTTAAGTCTTGAGACAGGACTTATTCATTCATTAAAAGTCCCCAACATGGCCGAAACCGGTTTGGCTCAGTGGATAGAGCGTCGGCCTGCGGACTGAAAGGTCCCAGGTTCGATTCCGGTCAAGGGCATGTACCTGGGTTGCGGGCACATCCCCAGTGGGAGATGTGCAGGAGGCAGCTGATCGATGTTTCTCTCTCATCGATGTTTCTGACTCTCTATCTCTCTCCCTTCCTCTCTGTGAAAAATCAATAAAATATATTTAAAAAAAAAAAAAAAAAGTCCCCAACATGCTCAAGGAAGAGTTTTATCAATAACTGACCCTCTATAGCTCAGAGTTCCTCTGGAGATCACAGTTGTATATGACATTTGAAAATATTTGCATAACTTGTTTTGGGTTTTAAGAGGTATGCTTAGTTTACTCCTATGTGGTCCTGAGCCTCCCTCCAATATGGCATGTCCATAATTGTGTTCTAAAAATATGCACCATGACTTTTAAAACTTACAGGTCCCTAGCCATCAAATGGCAATAAATAGAGTTAATATGCAACCTAAAAAGAAAAAAATTGCTTCAAAACATTACGGCATTGGGCTGTACTTATTTTCACACTTCCTACACTTTCTGCTCTTCTGAAGAACAGCCTGGACTTACCTTTAATCTTCGGCGGTTCATCCTGACATACCAATTGGTCAGAACATCGACAAACTTGACCAGGCGGGGCACCACAGTATAGAGCCTATAAGCTAAAAGCAAGATCAATCAATCAGGAACTGAGAATAGACTAAGCATTTGGGGTGCTTGGGGAAGGAGTGGACACAAGGAAAGAACGAGTAGCCCTGTCATCCAAGGGTCCCCATGCTTGTTGAGACAGAATGAACCAAAGGGAAGCAATCACACTGGCTCCTGCACTGAGGGCATACTCAATGACCGTAAACTATCTTGTGGTGCACACAACTGCCCTGTGAGCCACTGTCAGTGAGAAAAATGGATATCCTGTATATGTGGCCAAGAGGCCAACACTGCCCATCACACGACGCAGCAGGCACGTTTACCTGGAGCTGTACAATGCTAGAGCACCACACAGGCCCAACTTCCTTCACTGTGCTGCTCTGTATGTCAACTAAGACTGACACACAGTTTCTCAACCGGAGCAACTCTGTTCCACAGGGGACACTGGCAATGCCTGGAGACATCCTTGTCATAACTGAGCATATGGGTGCTCCACGCATCTGGCAAAGGAAGCCCAGTGATACTTGCTGCTCAACATCATATAACACACAGCCCAGCCCCACCAGAGAACCCACAAGCCCAAGCTATCCTTCATGATGCCACTGAGAAACTTAGCAAGAACCATGAGTAAAATAGAATAGGCTTTCTGAAGACCAAAATAGGAACATAGCTCATTTTACTGCACTTGTTTTATTATGTTTCAGATTTTTTAAAATACAAACTGAAGGCTTCTGGCAAACCTGGAAGTTAATTGGCACCATTTTTCCAACATAATTTGCTTGCTTTGTGTCAGTCATGATTCTTTCAATATTTCAAACTATTTCATTACTACACTTGTTATGATAATCTTGGATCAGTGGTCGTTGATGTTACTATTGCAACTGTTGTTTTGGGGTATCATGAACTACCACAAAACATTTCAAACTTAATCGATAAGTGTTGTGTGTTCCAATTGCTCTATTGACTGGCCATTCCCCTATCTCTCTCCTGCTCCTCAGGCCTCTCCAGTCCCTGAGATACAACAACATTGAAATTAGGCAATTAATAAAACTACAATGGCCTCCAAGTGCTCAAATGAAAGAGCCGCACAATTACTCCTGGTGAAGATGCTGTGGAGACCGTTGAAATGGCAACAAAGGATTTAGAACAGTGGTTCTCAACCTTCTGTCCCTTTAAATACAGTTCCTCATGTTCTGACCCAACCATAAAATTATTTTCGTTGCCACTTCATAACTGTAATGTTGCTACTGTTATGAATCGTAATGTGATTATCTGATATGCAGGATGGTCTTAGGTGACCCCTGTGAAAGGGTTGTTCAACCGTCAAAGGCAGGGGTCCTCAAACTTTTTAAACAGGGGGCCAGTTCACTGTCCCTCAGACCGTTGGAGGGCCAGACTATAGTTTAAATCTTATTTTGATGTAAAAAAACAAAACGGGAACAAATACAATATTTGTATTTGCATGTGGCCCGCGGGCTGTAGTTTGAGGACCCCTGGTCAAAGGGGTCGCAACCCACAGGTTGAGAACCGCTGATTTAGACTATTACATAAACTTAGTTGGTGAAGCAGCAACAGCGTCTGAAACTGACTCTAATTTTGAAAGAATGTCTACTGTGGGTAAAATGCTATCAAACAGCAACCCATGCTATAGAGAAACTGTTCATGAAAGGAAAAGTCAACTGATGCAGCAAACTTCAGTCATTGTTGGCCTATTTTAAAAAATGCCACAGCCACCACCACCACCCTGATTACTCAGCAGGCATCAAGATGAAGGAAAGAGCCCTGGCCAGGTAGCTCATTTGGCTCCAGTGTCATCCCAATATGCCAAGGTTGAGGGTTCAATCCCCAGTCAGGGCACATACAAGAATCAAACAAAGAATGCATAAATAAACGGAACAACAAATCAATGTTTCTCTCTCTCCCCCATCCTCTCTCTAATATCAATCAACAAATCCTATATAAGAAAAGCCTAATATGCTAAGTGTCTGGTCGTCTTTGTGACTGGTCGACCATTCAACCATCAAAGTGTAATATGCTAATGATATGTTAAGGCCGCTCAACCGCTCGCTATGACGTGCACTGACCACCAGGGGTAGGTTAGCTTGCTGCTGGGGTCCAGCCAATCGGGACTGAGCGAGACAGGTTGGACATGCCCTAGGGCCCTCCTGCAGTCCCTTCTTGGCCCTGATCATGCACTAGTGGGGTCCTTTGGCCTGGCCTGTGCCCTCTTGCAATCTGAGACCCCTCGGGGGATGTCAGAGAGACAGTTTTGGCCCAATCCTGCAGGCCACTTCACTCAGGAGGGCACCAGATGCAGGGCTTATGGCTGGCGAGCGCTGCTGCGACGGCGTGAGAGTCTTCTGATTGGGAATGATTGGGCGTTAAGCCCGCGGCAGGCACAGTGGGGCCAGGATGAGCGGGAGCAGCAAGTAGGAGTTGTAGGCAGGGTTGGACTGTGGGTTTCGGCAAGATCCTCACAGGCCACCCAGAGGGACCCCATCCATGCACGAATTTGTGCACTGGGCCTCTAGTAAATAAATAAAGGAAAGAACCCACACCAGTAAAACGGCTCCTACTGAAGGCTCAGATGATGGCTAACATTTTTTAGCAGCAATTTTTTTTCCTGTTAATCCTCACCCAAGTATATTTTTTCCCATTGTTTTTTAGAGAGTGGAAGGGAGGCAGGAGGGAGAGGAGGAGAGAGACATCGACTGGATACCTGCTACATGTGCCCCAATCAGGGGCAGGGAGTAAACCTCAAACCAGGTACATACCCTTAACTGAAATTTGAACCTGTGACCCTTCTGTGTACAGGTCTATGCTCTAACCACTGAACCCCACCAGCCACGACAAGCATTAAACTATTCTTTTTCTTTTTTTTTTTTTTTTTAGTAAACTGTTTTTAAAATTAAGGTGTGGACATTGTTTTAGACACAATGCTATTGCATACTTAATACTATTAAGTACAACTTACATATTCAACGGAAATCAAAAAAGTCATGTGACTTGCTTTATTGTATACTAGAGACCCAGTGCACAAAAATTTGTGCCCGGGGGTGGGGGGAGGGTTCCCCCTCAGCCAGGCCTGTGCCCTCTCGCAGTCTGGGACCCCTCGGGGGATGACCACCTGCTGGCTTAGGCCTGCTCCCCGGGGGATTGGGCCTAAGCTGGCAATCAGACATCCCTCTGGCAGCCCAGCAGCCCTCGGGGGATGTCCACTTGGCAGCGGGGAACAGCCCTAAGCTGCAGTCAGACATCCTTAGTGCTGCTGAGGAGGTGGGAGAGGCTCCCACCACCACCGCTGTACTGGCAGCCATCAGCCTGGCTTGTGGCTGAGCAGAGCTCCCCCATGTGGGAGCTCACTGACCACCAGAGGGCAGCTCCTGCATTGAGTGTCTGCCCTCTGGTGGTCAGTGTGTGTCATAGTGACCAGTCATTCCCAGTCTTTCTGCTTTTAGGGTCAGTTTGAATATTACCCTTTTACTATATAGGATAGAGGCCTGGTGCATGGGTGGGGGCCAGCTGGTTTGCCCTGAAGGGTGTCCCGGATCAGGGTGGGGGTCCCGCTGGGGTGCCTGGCCAGCCTGGATGAGGGGCTGATGGGTGTCTGCAGGCTGGCCACACCCCCTTCAGGGTGGGGGTCCCCACTGGGGTGCCTGGACAGTCTGAGTGAGGGGCTGAGGGCCGTTTTCAGGCTGGCCTGCAACTGAAGCTTCTAGCCGCACCTTTTTTTTTTTTTTTTTTTTATTCTGGGATTTATTTACCTTCTATAATTAAAACTCTGTTGCTGTGACTGGCGCTCTCAGATCTGAGGCTGCGGCTGGCTGAAAGCAGGTATTTGGGGTTTGTTTAGCTTCTATAATTAAAACTTTGTTGCTTTTGGAGCTGTTGCTTTCACAGCTTAGAGCAGGCCGCGGCAGGTGGGGAACCTTGGCTTCCTCCATCACTGGAGCAAGCATACCTCCTGCTCACTTCAGCTGCGTGGCTGCCGGCCGCCATCTTTGTTGGCAGTTAATTTGCATATCTCGCTGATTAGCCAATGGGAAGAGTAGTGGAGGTACGGTTAATTACCCTTTTCATCTTTTATCAGATAGAATTCTCTTTATTGGACATTTGCTTCATTATGGTGGTCTGGAACCGAACCCACACTATCTCCATGACATACCTACAGTCAAAGAAGGAAAGCTAAAGGGGGTAATGAACGGCAAAAAGCTCTGTAAAGCATTAGAAAGACTGGAAGGCTCTTGTGAGGAACTCCAGGGCCAGCAGGAAAGGAAGGGTGTCTTAGCCCATCTTGTTTGAGGCACAGGCTTATTTTAGGGATTTTCCCACTCACATCCCCTTTCACTGAAACTCTGTCGCTCAAACAACACAATTTATTTTAATGACCAGTGACTGTTAATAATGCTGGTGGTCTAAGCCAACATGGTGAGAAATTGCCAAGGGCAGAACTGCTCTCTGCGGTGGTTCACAGAGACCAGAAAGAGGTGCTGCAGGCCCATCCCTGTCCAGTCCCTGGCTGTTTGCACATTCCCAGACAGATGATGTCTGTGATCAGAGGCCTACTCTGTAAAGCAAGCAGGTCAAACTCTCAGCCCATGATCTGCATGCAACCCACAAAGAATATATCTGCGGCCCAACCAATTTAACCATATGTAAGAAACATTTTAATAAAAATTTCATAACTTAATTTTTACAATATCCTATTTTACATAATTATTAATAACAAACTACAACGTTCGCTAATGGCTGATTACTGGAATTGTGTTGCATTCACTTCCCTTAAGCACCTTATGCGCAGGTGCACCATTTCTCTCCACCAATACCAGCAGTGAATATTTTAGCAGCCAATGGCCACGTCATTAGTCTTGAACTGACTTGTTTGGGGTGCGCAACAAGAAATATTTAGCTTTCAGAGAACAAGAAAAATAGGTTTAGTTGCGTCACGCTTATTAATTTGTGCAGTCATTCAGTGTCTGGTACATTAATGTTCAAGAAAAAATATTATTATTAAAATGTTCAGTTATTTTGTGATAACGATGACTAATTTATTTTACCCCTTTGTATTCAGGATGTCTCTATGGAAATAAATCAACGTTTCTATGAAAATGGAAGCTTTTTTTGTGGCCCACATACACTTAAACCTTGTTTACTTGGCCCGTGGTAGCCTTTGAGTTTGACATGCTTGCTGTGTCGGCCTGTGGCCTGAAGAATCCTGAGTTCGATTATGGTCAGGGGCACATGCTCAGGTTGTGGGCTCAATCCCCAGTAGGGGGCTTGAAGGAGGCAGCCAATCAATGATTCTCTCTCATCAATGATGTCTCTCTCTTTCCCTTTCCCTTCCTCTCTAAAGTCAATAAAAAATATTAGAAAAGAAAAGAAAAAGGCCAAAGTTATTCTTAGTGTTCATTACACTTTTCATCTTCCAGGAAGCCATCATAACCTACTTCCTATATTCAGGTTTCAGCTTAGAGAGACGAAGCCTATGGGTAATGAGCACACAGAAGCAGTAGCAACTATCGCTGGAATCACTATAAAAGCATCACGCTTCAAGGATGCTACTTCAGACTCTGTTGACAAGGGAGCTGAGGGCACAAGCTGCATCACACAGCCTGTGTGGAGCACACCTGGCCTCTCACATCTGGCTCTTTCTTACCACTAAGCTGATGTGCACAAGCTGCCTAACCTCTAACACCCAGTCAGACTGGGCACACTCTTCAGGAGGGCAGTTGCATAAAGATGCAGGAGCCCCAAGCAATAAGCCCCAGCACAGCTTCCCTCCCACTCACATCACTCAGGAGGAGGAAGTGAGTGTGGCTGTAAGCCCATGTCCTGGGAGCCTGGTGAACTCCACTCAGGAGTCTGCTTCCCACACTCATTTCTATTGTCACTTCTATCCAACAGCTTGGCAATCATAATGATCCTTACGTTCAAGGGGTGGACATAGTCCGTCAAGATGACTGGTGAGCATGTGGAAATTCCTGGGCTCACTGTCCTTTGTGCCAGGATCAAAGGCACCTACTCCAGTAGGAGCTACGCACCAGCTGAGGACGGCAGGCCCCTGCCTGCACCAAAAGGTGGCTTTGCTCCTCGAAACCATGAGCACTGCACCTGCATGGCAGCCCCTGGCACCCACAGGTGCTGAGGGAGGCAGGTCAACCTCGCTAAGGTGTGCAGCACTGGGAAGCCCACCTACTTCATCAGACCCACCCATCTCAGGTATCTGAGTTAATGCTTTCTAGAATTTTCCACCCCGACTTCCGGTTGTTCCATCATAACCTACTTCCCAACCTCTGTATAAAACCAAATTCATTGCTGTAGGTAACAAATACAGGAAAATGTCTACTTCATTATTGCTTTGCTGTATTTCCTAATTTTTCTAGACTGAACAGGACACTTACTTAATAAAGTAGACTTGAAAATAGAAATTTAAAAAATCTATATACATAAAAGGCTGAGCAACCATCCTACCAGTAGCTATGATGTGCAATGACCATCAGGGGGCAGACGCTACAACCGGTAGCTAAGACATGCACTGACCACCAGCAGGCAGACGCTCAAGGCAGGAGCTGCCGAGCCGCCGTGACTTGGCAGTGGGGTTCTCAGGTAATGCACCCTGGAACCAGAAAAGAGGTAGCATGATTCCAGGGTACATCACCCGAGAACCACCCTCTTGCAATCTGGGACCCCTCAGGAGATGTCGGAGAGCTGCTTTAGACCCAATCCTTGCAGGCCAGGCTGAGGGACCCTACCTGCCAGAGGGACCCCACTCATTCCGCAGACTCCCTCTGAGCTGCGGTGCCACCTCAGGTGCAGTCGGCCAGGGAGGGACTGCTGGAGGTCGGCTTCCAGGGTGTGTCCAGCCCGTCTAGCCCAGTCCCGCCCCACTGGCCATCTTCTAATTAATTTCCTTTCAATGTGCACGAATCCATGCACTGGAGCACTAGTAAAAAAATAAAAGACCTACTAACATGTATTACTTAGTGAATACCTACTACCTACCAGATACTTGAAGTACATGATCTGTATTAGAGCCTTAGAATAACTCTAGCCAGGTGTTTTTCACAGGAAGAAACTGAGGTTCCCAAACGAGGAAACAGGCACAGAGTCACCCAGCACTGAGCCTATGAAGGGATGTAGCCACTGGGCATCCTCAGAGATGATCCCCCAGGCCTTGGAATAGCACCTTCTACAACTACCCTTGACAAAATTATATTTGAGTGTTGAAAGAAATAACTATCTACTGTTCTTTATCTCTTAAAATTTCTATAAAATCTCCATTGTTTATCAATAAAAAGTTAAATATGTAAAGGGCAATCATAAAGATTAAGAGTCCTTAGTCCTGGGAGGAGGGCCAAAGAGAGACACACCTGCCATTTCGGTCTCAAAGAAGGCAATGAGCGACTGCATGAAGGACAGGATCCACTGGTCTGTAATATTGGCACTTTCTTTAACCGTGTTCTCATTGTAGAGGAATTCCATTTCTTCCTCCTAGGAATTGACAATTATTGAAATATTCTGTTTGCTTGGGGAAATTAATGTAAAGAAATGAGCTGTTTAAAGCACTGAAACTGAAATAGCCAATACCACGCCCCGCCTCCCCCAATTCAGGCCCATTGGCAATCTAAATTTCTAATTTTCAGTAATATTTTCAGGATAAGCTCTAAACCTGGGATATTAAGTCTTCAATTAGTGAATTACATTTTTGAGAGAAGGAGAAGTTAGGAAAAAAATTATTCTTCTGCACCAAAGAATGATTATGAATTGAGAAACATTCCAAAATATTGTCAGTAACTATAGGGTACAGTTACTTTAAATCTGAGGGAGGAACAACAGTAAAATTTGCAAGCACTGGATGACTGTCTACAAATTGAAAATGAGCACTGATTGTAGAGCCCGTGTCTTGCTGCCATGCCCAGATCAGGCGCCAGATCAGCAGAGGCTGCAAAATGGCCCTGCCTAAGAACTGTGGGCCCAACAAGGTGGTTGGAACAAAAAGCCAGGAGCACTAGGGACCTGGGGAAAATGACTGCCTTTCTCAAACACAGGGGAAAATGTCCCCTGGGAAGCTTTATTAGCAGACCTAGACAAGCCAGAGGCAGAAGCAGCAAGTGACCGGACTGCTGGAGTGTGATGTTCAAAGCTCAGCTTCCCAAACCAATTTCTCATGAAGGAATAACATCCCATGTTTAGTCAACAGTAATTTACCAAGCAATTCTACTTGTAAGATGCTGGAGGTAAAAAGATCAGTGGTACCGGGCCCTAACCCCAATGGAGTCCTGAAAGCTAAGACAGGAGCCTGCGTCATGGAGCAGGAGAGGCAGCTTCTCCAAGAATGTCATGGGCAGCAGGACACTGCTCGGGAGGCACTTTCAACACAATCATTAAGTCCGAAGACCCCAATGAGAATTTCTCTCACTCAGAGGATCAGCCCAAAGGCACCCATGGAGGGCCTTTACTCTGAGACAGTAGCTGATCCTTCACTGGCTCTGCCATGCCCACCCACACTGGTTCCACAAGGGAGTGGGACTGGCTGACTAAATGAATGTCCAATGCAACTCTTCTACAGGTGAGGCTGCTGTCTGCACAGGTGAGCTTGCCAAGGAGCCCCAGTCCCATGCTACTGGTGCAAGAAGGACCCTGGATAACTTTACTGATGGCCTCCCAAGTGTCTCTGACCCTCCACACCACAGAGACTGTGCAAATCCAGCTCAACACAGCTGGGAAGGCAGAGCTCAACCACAGCACAGCAGTCCATACCTTCTGCAGCCTCAGGACATTCTGGATGAAGAAGCGATAGGCATTGTACCAAGGGAGCAGCACGTCCTTCAGAACATCGCGAACACCTTCTTCCTTAAAGCGGAGGTTTTCTGCTCTCACCACAGGGGAGTTAATCAGATACAATCTGGAAGAGAAAAATTATACCGAAAATGAATGTAGACAGTAAACAATTATTATGTGACATTTTGACAGGGCAACACCAAAACTAGCATTTCTGCTACAAAAGGGGTAATTATGAATACTCTTCTCGTGGTCTATTTAAAACTGATAAAGCTCTTACTGTTACATGCATGAGGCCAAGCACATTATAAAAGGAGATGTAAGCCCAGTGCAGGCCACTGGTGGTGGGTGCAGCAGAGCCCAAAGGCATCGGCCAGGCCCTCCTCCCAGAACAATGCAGGCACCAAAGACTCCCCAGGAGCAGCTGTGTGTGCTCTGCCAGGGCAGAGGGCTGGGGGGCTTTTAATTTGAACACTCAATGATCTCTGGATTTGAAAATGTCATCATTATTTAAAAACCCGTTTGGGGAGTTTGAGTCAACATCATACAAATGTAGCCCCCCCTGGAGCAGAGATACATTTTTTAAAAAGCAAATTCTAAACCACATCTAAGGAACATGACTAACAGAATGAGAAATGCTTACATAAAAATGACAAACACACCCTCACTGGTTTGGCTCAGTGGATAAAGCATCAGCCTGCGGACCAAAGGGTCCGGGTTCAATTCCGGTCAAGGGCATGTACCTTGGCTGCAGGCTCCTCCCTGGCCCCGATCCTGGTCAGGGCTCCTGCAGGAGGCAACCAATCAATGATTTCTCTCACATCGATGTTTCTCTCAGTCTCTCCCTCTCTCTTCCATTCTTTCTCAAAATCAATGGAAAAATATCTGCAGGTGAGGATTAAAAATAAATAAATAAATTGATTAAATGTAAAAAAAAAAAAAAGACGACAAACACACACACGGCAAAGCATGGGCTTTTACCTGAGGGCGTCAGCACCATATTTATGGATGATGGAAAGTGGATCTGGATAATTCTTTTTTCGTTTGCTCATTTTCTGGCCATCACTTGAAAAACACAAGTCAATGTCACAGTTTATCTTTATATATGGTTACAGCTATTTTCAACTGGAACACATAAATGCAAAGGGCATACAGCCAATGTTAAAGTACAACAATAAAGCTGTCTGTCAGTATCTGTAAGCTTCTTTTTAAATACTGTGTTGAATCAACAGAGAAGCTTCAGGAGAGATGAAGGAAGACATTATAGTGTAACAGTTAAATATACAGATGAGGCATTTACCCTACAGAAGTGAAAATCTATAGTGACACAAACCTTACAACAAACTTGACAGCTTTATTCATTGTCAGAAACACTGGAAACAACTCACTTGAGCAGGTGAAGAGTCAAACTCTGGGTCACCCACATGCTCAGCAAAGAAAAGGAAGGAACCAGATACACAAGCCCCCCAGGACCCTCCAGGGAGTAACACTGAGCAAGAAAAGCCAATCCCAAAAAGTTATACATGGTAGGATTCTATTTACATAACAGACTTGCAATGATACCATTTCAGAGATGGAGAACAGATCAGTGGTTGCCAGGGGTTGGGGAGGAGGCTGAAAGGGCAGGAGGATGTGGCTGTAGTTATGAAAAGGCAACAGAGGGACCGTGAGATGTTCAAAGGAAAGGAAACTGGGAAAACTCAAAAGGGGCCTCTGTTATTTTTCACAACTGCACGCAAATCTACAATTCAATAAAAATTTCAACTGAAAATGTGAAAAAGCATAGCCTGTACAGCCAGACTGCCTGGGTACTTGAATTTACCACTTATTTATTGTGTGACTTGGGCAAGTTACTTAATTTTCCTGAACCTCAATTCCTCAAATGTCAAAAGAGCTATGGGGATTAAGTGTGTGAAGATGTGTAATAGCTCACAACAGGGCCTACTGCCACGCCCTCACTGCACATAAAGCTGGGCACCTATGTAAACATTCATAGTTTCTTATTTTATTTATGTTTTACTTTTACTAACTTGAGGAAGTACAGGGAAAAGAAGAATAAGACTCCTATGCAATACTAGAAACCTCTATAACCCATAACTTCCTCATGTTAAAAATAAGACAACAAAAATCTATACTAAAGGTCCAGTGTACAGATTAAATATGAGCTATAAGCAAAAGAACTTTATGAAGTTCTAAAAACACACATTATTTTATCACTAGAAGATCCCAGAAAAGACCTCCCCTTCCATTAGGCTGAGCTCTCAACCCAGCCCTGCTTCCGAAGACAGAGGAAGTGGGTGGGAGACGGAACGCAAAAGACGGACAAGTGCACAGGAAAGGAGTGGGATGAAAAGAGCAGCAAAATTTAAAAAGCAGAGAAGAAATAGTAGGAACAGAGGGGGGCATTCCTGAATTCCTCTATTCACAAAGGAAGGTTAGGGGAATGGAGAACCTTGTCATTACACAGGAGTGCACCTGCCTTGCAAGGACGAGCCCATTCGCAATCACATTCCTGAAAGGTGGTTGTCCGAAGAGAGCTGTGGCCAGCACCAGCAGAGTGTAAAACCTGGAAAAAATGTCAAAAAGAAAGAGTTAAGAAACAAAACAAGAACCGGAAAAGAAACCCAGCATAGGGAAAAACTGTTTACTTGTTGAACTGAATTTCTATTTTGGATCTGTTATCCTTCTTGATAACCACATAAAGCAAAGGTTCTTAATTCTGATGACTTATTAAGTCATGTCAGGATCACTGAAAAAAATTACATATAGGACCCACTGCAGAGCAGCCCCTGATCAGAAAATGAATTGCTTTATTGAAAGTGAATAAAGGCCTGGAGCCAGATGTTGACCCAGTTGAGGACAGCACCATCACTCTCCTCGGGAAGCCAGTTGGACAGCTACAAGGCAGAGAAGGTCAGAGAGGGATGGTTTCTCAGGACCTCCCCAAAAGACAAAACTGAAAATCAAGAGATATCACCTAGCACAGGGCCATATGAGAGTCTTATGACAAAAAACAAACAAACAAACCTCTCTCCCCGCCAAAAACAACATATCTCTCACTCAAAAGTCAAAAGATAGATGACAGCAGCAGAGGCAGTTTTTATTCTGTTGGTCAGATATCAAATATGTCGTTTATTTTGCTTGCTCGCTTATTCCCTAAAAGAACTGCATCACATCCCTGTAAGCTGTCCTGATAGTGAGGCTCTTGTCACCTCTAATCTGATTTTGAGAACATCCCAGGACATAAACTGATGAGGTTGGAGACCAGACCCCATGGCTAACATGAACACCTGACAAGACATCCCGTTCACTAAGGACTGCTAACAGTTGCCAGATGTCACCACTCCTCTGAGAAACTCCCTGGGAAGAGGAGTTTGTGCCTAGTACTGTTCCTACAGATAAATGGATTGGAAGCTGAAAATAGCACATCCCAAAACATTAGGCTGGAATTTAATCAGTTTGTGATTGACTCCTGCAATTTGTAAAAGCAGAAAACAACACCCAAATTCCTTAAACAACTCCTGTAAAACCATTATTAATGAAAATATAATTAGAACCTGGGCCAACCAAGATCATCCACAAAAAGAAGGTAACTTTTTTATAATTAAGAGGGCAAAGGTATGGCTTTAAATAAGGCACCGGCCGAAACCGGTTTGGCTCAGTGGATAGAGCGTCGGCCTGCGGACTGAAAGGTCCCAGGTTCGATTCCGGTCAAGGGCATGTACCTGGGTTGCGGGCACATCCCCAGTAGGAGATGTGCAGGAGGCAGCTGATCGATGTTTCTCTCTCATCGATGTTTCTAACTCTCTGTCCCTCTCCTTTCCTCTCTGTAAAAAATCAATAAAATATAAATAAATAAATAAATGAATGAATAAATAAATAAGGCACCGGATAAAACCAATACTCAAATCCTCTCCCCATGATCTTTTAAAATCTAGATTTTTTTGAATGTTAATTTTGTAAAGCTAGTCTAACATCTAAGCACATTTCCAAGCATCCCTTTTTGCATTTGTAGTACCTCACTCTTTATCCTGTATGTACTAGTAAATACTCATTACACATTTGAGTAAATGATTTGAAATACACAAGCTATGATCATCACACATTGTTTTTTATCACATTTCCAGTGAAACAAATCTCTATACGCCAAGATGTCAGTGAAATAACAAATTCTAAAACTATAGCCTACCATGGGAGAGACACCTATTCAAGACACTAACGGGTTGCTTGGTATGAGGAGCAGAGGGCAGGAGAGCCTCTCTCCCTAACACAGTCTTCCCTGCACATAGCTGATAAAGACCAGGTGCTCAGTAAAGTAGCTGCTAAATAAAATGAAATCAACAAAACACTTAGAAGAACAAAAAAACATACCATCCTCTGGTTTGATCAATGCCTTCAGCAATGAAGTCTGCAGGAAATGCATCTTCAAACTCCTTCTTATTTTCAAATGGATAATGAACTTGAGCATAGGGCATGCTGCCACTCTCAAACCAACAGTCAAACACTTCAGACACGCGACGCAGCAATCCCTTCCCACAGCGTGAAGGGATGGTCAGATGGTCAATGCTAATAAACAAAAACGTGCCATTTCTATTAATTTTAAGCACAACAGAACTTGCAGTTTAATTGCCAGTAGGAAACACAATTTCCTGAAAGCTCTTTATACGAACAGAAATACTGGCAATTATCACAGGCTTTCAGAGAGCATCAGGAATGCTTGACCTAGAAGGTTGTATACCAGAGGCCCCTGCCATCTAATGCAAGGACCGAAGCCACCCCTCCTCATTATGACACAAGTTATCAACAATGTAATTCAGCAAACCAGAGTTTGATTTCTATATGCAGCTCTAGGATCTGCTACAGAGACCACATCTTAACACACTGCGGACAGATCACGAGAATTCTTGCTTCATATTACAGTGTTTTACAAAGTATCATACTTTAAAAATAGATTAGCTTGTAAGAATAATAAATAACTTCAAAATGCAATGAGTATTTAATTTTAAAGCGTGCCTTTAACATTTATGTAAAAAGTTTTTTGTGCTCGTTCAATAGAAACTTATCTGGCCACTGGGTGAAGCTAGCAATGAAACTACTGGTCTGCAATGTGTTAATAGGCTAAACCAATGGTCGGCAAACCGCAGCTTGCGAGCCACATGCGGCTCTCTTTGGCCCCTTGAGTGTGGTTCTTCCGCAAAATATCACGTGTGGGCGCACATGTACAGTGCAATTAAAACTTCGTGGCCCATGCGCAGAAGTCGGTTTTCAGAAAGGAGATAGACGAAACAAGTATACAAGATGAGTGTGGATGGGAGAGTTGGAAGGGGTCGACCTCAGCGAACGTACCTTAATCAGATTGAGGACGTTTTTAGCAAAGGCCAGCTTAGGAGTACCCTAATTAAGTTAGTAACAATGTACCTACCTAGATAGTTTAAGTTTAAAAAATTTGGCTCTCAAAAGGAATTTCACTCGTTGTACTGTTGATAATTGGCTCTGCTGACTAATGAGTTTGCCGACCACTGGGCTAAGCCAAAGCTCTGAATGACAGAACTGACATGAATCACACACTTAGAAACTGACCTCTCTCTGTGGAGATCTGAGACCTTTGTTCCTGACAGTTCTTCAAGTTCTGCCATTGACCCAATGCATACTATCTGTCAAAACAAAGTTAAAAAGCAGGAGTGCTGCAGAGGCAAAGATCACAGGGTTTATTTCTGTAACATTCCTATTTAGTTTTAGAGGCCTCTCATCTTAAGGACATTTACCACCAAAATGGCTAACCCTCAGGAAAGACAGGTCACTCTCTGAAGAAGTGAGCAGACTTCCCTTCCTTGCTACCAACCCCATATCAGAGGAGGCTCTACATGGAGATTTTCAACATTCACAGCCATCATCTCAACGAGCATTTTTTGAGGGTTTACTGTGTCCAAATCTGCAAAAATGACCAGCAGAAGTGAAATGCCTAGACCAGGGGTGGGCAGCCTTTTTGTGAGTGCGTGCCAAAACTAGCAAAATCTCTGACTCAAAATTCTTCTGCGTGCCAACCCTAATTTGTTGAGAACGTGTTACGCCTACTTGATATCTCTTAAGGTGTACGTATGTAAAGAATCTTGAAGAAATAATAAAATTCATTCGAGCGACAAAAACACAGTATATGATGATGAAAAATACATTTATTTTTTAATGTATACATGTTATGTAAAATTATTTATCTAAGATGCACCTACACTGAATTTATCTGAAAAATAAAAAAGTCGATATTAAGAAAAAAATTGTAAATGGAAGATTATAAGAGAGGGTTTCGCGTGCCAGCAAATGTTACTGGCGTGCCATGTTTGGCACGCGTGCCAGGGGTTGCCCACCCCTGGCCTAGACTATTACTCTAAGCTAAGGCATCTTATTTTCTTCCTGGCACTTGAATTTGATTCTTTAAGCTGGAATCTTCTGAAGTGAAAGCTAGAACTAAATTATTGTGCAGAGTCAAAATAGTCCTACTGCAAGATGTCGGAATTATGTCCGGGTAAGGAGGCTGAGATGGGCCCACTGAGGCGCTCCCAAAGGAAGCCATCTGACAGGGCTGCTGGGGCTTCTCCGCTACCTGGAGGCACCCTGGTCTCTTTCTTCGTCCTTCCTAACTGGTCCCGAAAAGCCTTGATTCAGCCACACTGGAAATTTACTGAGGTCCCTGGGCTGCTGTGGCTCATGATGGCTCTAATGCTCTCAGCTTTCAGTGATGGACAGAAAGCCCCATCAAGGGAATACATCTAAAGTCCTACATATAACATTTACATAGACCTAAACTCATATACAATCACTTGGTTTTGTAGGTTAAAGGTCTGGAATGCTTGGGTAATTTTTTTTCAATCTTCCTTTTCCGTCACTATAAGTTGGACTTAACATGCTATGACTTAGTGCAGAGTATCTGTTCTGTTCATAAATAACTCACAAGAAGAAACAGAGATATGAGCAACACAAACAACTTACTGTGTGGCTTCCCTGAGAAAAATGGAAATTACATTCACTTTTACACAAAGGGAAATTGTTAAAAATTGCATTAGAGTCAAAATAAAGTTAAAGCTCTAAAAACATTCTTATTCATGTCATTATTATAGGAAGGAATGAGAAAAAGATGAAATAAGGGGCAAAGAAAGAAAAGAAAGAAGCCATATTCTTCTACCTCATATTCAGATGGAACGAATGAACAAAGGGCCTCAATAAAAATCAACACATGAAAGCGCCACAGCCTCACCTCCTCGAAGTCCTCGCTGACCCACAGCGGGATAGGGGTGCCCCAGTATCTGTTTCTGGAAACTGCCCAGTCTCGTGCATCTTTCAGCCAATTTCCAAACCGCTTTTCTCTCACAAACTCCGGGACCCTGGATGAGCAGATCAGACACCAGATCACCCAAGAACATTACTGAGTAAATCTGTGAAGGGCACCTGCATAGGCTTTGTGGACCAGACTCCCTGGAAACGCTGAGCTCACTCCTGAGAGGTGGTTTTCTGCATGGGCAGCACCAGATGGCCCACAGTGGCAGCACCTGCTGTGAATTCATCCCAGTGAAAATGGCTCTTTAGTAGAAAACATCACCGCACCCAGGCTTCCCTCCCGTGGCCTCCCCTGGGGGACGGCCACAGTCCTCTGAACAGTCACCACGTGCTAGCTAGCCTGGCCCCGCTCCTATTTAGTTTCTGGATCACCCACACAACAGCGCTTTATTTAATTGTAACTCACTGGCGTGGGAACCAATCACCTAGAAAATAAGAGTCCGAACAGGTAGCGTATTGGTAGCTGGCTGGTAGATGCCTCCCCAGGCTCACCTGCACATTGTACATTAGGCTCCAGCAATGAGGTAAGTTCCTTAAACGTGCTTCTCACCTCAATGCCTTAACTAGTACTATGCCTCCTCTGTAATAACCTTCACCTGGCAGAACTCCCATCAGCAACTCCTCCCCCAAATTTTTATTGTCTCAGATTGATAAATGGCACCTATCCTTTGAGGTTCAGCTTTGCAGAAAAACTTAACAAGTTTAAGACCAATAGGGTCCCCTAGTCCTGTATCATAGATGGCAGTTTATAGGCTGGCACCTCCCACAGGACACCCGGACTACGAATATTCCATACCTAGCAAATCACACATTAGGAGAACGAAAGAGCGTTCGAGGTATAAAAATGAAAGAACAGCTTTTACTTGAGAAATCAGAGTCACTTCGCTGGAAAAAAAAGAAAGAAAGCTATAGCCACTTCCTTTAACTACCCTGAAATGCTCCCCATTCTTCCAAAATCAAATGCAGTCTTTAAGTTCTTATGGGGAGTAAAAAAATAGTGATTACCCTCCAAACTCTCAGTGAAAAACATACTTTTGCTATATATAGATCCAGTCTTACTTCATTTTTGTAACAGTTGAGTAACACTTTTTTTAATGACTGGATATTAGCTGACAGCTTTTGTCCCCTCAGTGCAGCCAGCCTGAACAAGACCATCACAGTCTGGGAACTCAAAAACTATCAAAAGTAGTACAGCTGATCCTTAAACATGTGTTTGAACAGCAGGAGTCCAATTATATGCCAATTTTCTAACGTGACCCACGCAGTTCAAACCCCGGTTGTTTAGGGTCAACGCCAAGGCTGGGAAATCACAGATGTGGAGAGCCGACTGTTACACATGGATTTTTGATGAGGCAGAGATTCGTGCCGCCAACTCCAGTGTTTTTTAAGGGCCAACTGTCATCATAAATGGCTTTTGTGGATATATATCCAAAAACAAATGTTTACCCTGAAAATGACTATTATTTACGGCTAATGAACAATGAGAGTACAGCCAGATGTTTTTCAGTCATCCCATTCTGTGAAATGAATAAACAGCAGTTTCTCATTTCCATTTGGCTTTTTAAAAAAAAGTAAAAATACTCTATATGCCTTATAATAAAAAAATGGTACTTTGTTATATCTCATTTAAATTGTTTTGTGTTCCTAAAAAGAAATAAAAATAGATGTTACTACAATATATAATAAATGATGGCTATTAAAATTATTGATTTGGGGGAGTGTAAACCAATACTTACTAACTGCATGACAAAGAACATTCTGAAGACACACATCTTACTGCTCACCAGTAACACAGGTCATTGTTCCTCATCAGCTGGTCCACCATGTGCTCAACCCGCACAAACCAGCTGGGCACCGCTTTGTAAATGAGGGGGGTATCTGATCTAGGAAAGCAGAAATGGAGGTGTGGCTGGTCAGAAGGTGTGCAGGCACCCAGGACAACCACTTTTAGTGTCTCACTTATGTCACCATCACCTACTTGGCCTTCTGCAAAAGTAATGTCTACATCCTCAGTATTAGTCACCACCCTCCACAAAACCAAGAAAGGCAAGCTAGTAAAAGAATACAAGAAAAAATATAGAGTTCTCCTGTTGTGTGACAGCTGTCCAGGAAAGATATCACATTCACTCAGCTTGTGTGGTTCAGTGGTTGAGCATCAAACCATGTATTAAGAGGTCACGAATTCAGTTCCTGGTTTTGGGCTTCATCCCCTGTGGAGCCTACAGGAGCAACTGATTAATGTTTCTCTCTCATCAATGTTTCTATCTCTCTCTTCCTCTCTCAAATTAATAAAAACATTGAAAAAACAGTATCACACTCAGCAAAAATGAGGCCTGAGAACATAACATTAACCCTAACCCTAACCATAACCCTGACCCTAAACCTAACCCACGGAAGATTCCATTTCACCCAAATCTTTATAATCTTGTATTAAAACTTATTATCACATACATCTCACTTAATTCCATCAGAAAATTTTAGAGATGTATCTCATTCTAAAGAAATGTGACCCCCAACACAGAAGATATTAGTCCCTGTAGGATGATAGAAAATATGCACATATATCTTTGCCCCTGGATCCTGGCAAAGAGCTCCTGAAACCCTTCTAATTTTCTGGGTGACAAGAGTGTCTTTTCTTCTAATGAGGTGCTTCTGTGTGGGCCCTTGGATGGGGGCTGGTCACTGGAAAGATGAAGCCATGATAGCTTGGAATTCCAGCCCTGTCTCCATCCTCCTGAGAAGGGAGAAGGGCTGACAATAGAGCTAATGGTTGATCATGACTTTGTGGTGAAGCCTAAAATTTTAAAAGTACGGGGGTTGAATGGTTTTCAGGTTGATAAATGCATCCATGGGAGGGTGACACACCCCAACTCCATGGGACACATGATAATGCTCACAGGACCCTCCCAGACCTCTCCATTAGGCTGTTCACCTGCATCCTTCAATAAATGTGTTTCCTGGAATTCTGAGCCTGACTAGCAAATTAATTGAACCCATCCATGGAGGGATTAGATGGAACCTCTCAACTAAAGCCAGTCCGTATATTAGGGATTAATCTTTGGGACCTGATAATGCCTCTAGGTCAGTGGTTCTCAACCTTCCTAATGCCGTGACCCTTTAATACAGTTCCTCATGTTGTGGTGACCTCCAACCATAAAATTATTTTCGTTGCTACTTTATAACTGTAATTTTGCTACTGTTATGAATCGTAATGTAAATATCTGATATGCAGGATATATTTTCATTGTTACAAATTGAACATAATTAAAGAATAGTGACTAATCACAAAAAACAATATGTAATTATATATGTGTTTTCCGATGGTCTTAGGCGACCCCTGTGAAAGGGTCGTTCGACCCCCAAAGGGGTCGCGACCCACAGGTTGAGAACCCCTGCTCTAGATAGATGGTGTCGAACTGAATTAAATTGTAGGACACCCAGCTGGTGTCACAGAGAAATGAATTGTTTGGTGTGGGGAAAAACATCCACAATACTGGGGACTGAAAAATGTCAGAGTGAAGTGTTTTATATAAGTTGTAAAGAAGATCACAAGAAAAATAAGTAGGAAACGGTCAGCATGGCTCAGTGGTTGAGTGTCGACCTATGAACCAGGAGGTCACAGTTCGATTCCCAGTCAGGGCACATGCTCGATCCCCAGGGTGTGGTGTGCAGGAGGCAGCCAATCAATGATTCTCTCTCATCATCAATGTTCCTATATCTCTCTCCCTCTCTCTCTTCCTTCCTCTCTGAAATACATAAAAATGTGTTTTAAAAACAAACAAAAAAAACAAGAAGTAAGTAGGGAAGAAATAGGTTTTCTTTCTTGTCTGTGTCTGTATTTCTAACACAACTCCTGAGAAAAGAAATAACTGTATGCATTTATAACATTCTCCTTGGAGCAAGAAGGCAGTATCCAAACACAAGCTCTAAAGAATACAAATGAGATAGAAACCACAAACTGATGGAGTGGCACAAACGTAAGTGTACGCACAAATCCAAAGCTCTGGCTAAAACAGTCCCCTCCTCACCTCCAGCAGAAAGGGTAGCTATGAGTGAAGGTGCTGGCAACAAGAAGTCGGCCGTGTTCCTTCAGCATCCTGATGATATTTTTGTCAGCATCCTGTTAAAAAATTAAAATGTAGCTACTGAAATATCCTCCAGTATTTAGTAACATAATATAATTGAGTATTTATAACTAAAATCTGGTATTTGGATACCTTTACTATGAGTAAAAGACACAAATAACAAATGTATTATATATATAATGCATCTATACTTTAGCCACCATGTAACTGCACGCACTTTTAAAATACATGCTATATCATTAAGGTAGTGCAGTTTTCAATCAGCAATGACTACTCCAAGGTCACAACGTTGCTTCATGAGTCACAAGACAGAGCCTATTTTTCTCAACTCCTTTAAATTACAGCCTGCTTCCTCTAAAGATACTAGATGCTCGAATGCAGCTGATAATATCCGTCTACCTGTACTGATTTTATGAACTGAAGCAAAACAAAACAGAAGCAGCTTCCTAAAAAAAAAAACACAATCCAAGATGTGGAAGCTTTTTGATAAAAACTAATGAATAAAAACAGTCCGATGAAACTGAGACCTTTCTATGCCTTACAGTCACAGACCTTCACATACTGTCCCATGAAATCTGTCACTTCCGCTGTGAAACAGCCTGAAGCATCCACAGGGCACACAGGGACAGAATCTTTCTGAATGATGTTGAAGTCCATACAGACCCGATAGTCATCCTGGGGCGAAAGGAGAGAAGAATAAAACAGTTCAAGTGTATGAGGAGGTAGTGCAGTTTTCAATCAGCAATGACTACCCCAAGGTCACAAAGTTGCTTCATGAGTCACCAGTCAGAGCCCAGTATGAGGGAGGTTTACAGGAATAATTTTCTGTATTCTCATACATACCTCTAATCAACTGCAATTATCCTCTCAACTAAAGTTAACTCAAAGACTGCACAGAGATTAACAGAGCATTATAGTTGCGGAGGATTAACATCTAGCCTAGTCTAACCAGACATTATTTCACAGACCCCTACATATATGAGAGTATCTATCCACTAAGTGAGATGACATCCTATCTAATAACAGACAACGATGCAAATTGACCGTACCTTCGCAACACCCACCACTGGCTAATCAGAGAGACATGCAAATTAACCACCAAAAAAGATGGCGGCTAATTTGCAAATACCGGCTGGGAGTGAAGACTGAAGACACGGTAGAAGGAAGCCAAGCAACGGAGCCAAGGTAGCAGAGACAGGCGGGAGAGAAGCAGCAGAGATGGGAGGAGTAGGAACTGCAAAGAAGGGCAGGGTAGGAACGGCAGAGACGGGAGCAAAGCCCTATTCTTGCAGGAATCTTCCTGCAACGGGCCTCTAGTAAGTATATTAAAACTAATTAAACTTGACTTATAACACCAACATGTATGCACATACATGTTATCACCAAAACAGAAGCACCTACAGGTGTAAGGCATGACCTATTTAGTCCTGCATGATACTTGGTATGCATATGGATTTGCACCCTGTCGAGGGGTAACTGAGAGATCACAACACTGAGTATCGCTCACCTAGATTACCCACAATGCTTCCGGAATACATTTTGAGCAGTGTGAATTCGAGCAAACTTTTATATAACGCTGGATCACACAGTGCTCTGACATTTCACTACTTAGCTCGTTTAAGTTTCACCACTGTGAAGAGGACTGACTGGCGCAGTTTAACCAGGTGTTCCCCTTAAAAAAACCAGCAACTATCTCCACTGAACAGACGAGGAAGCTGTAGCAATGCTCCCGTTCAAAACCAAACAGCCTGGCTCCAGATTCCAGTCTTTATTGTGTTATGTTGCCCAAACCTAAAAAGGATTGTCTTAGGGTTAGATGGAGAAACCATATTCTGTTTGACTCCAAAACAAGATGGAAAGCCAGTGTGTTCCCACCTGGCCCTGTGTTGTGAGGGGTTCCCTAGTGATGAAACATGTGGGTACTTGCCCATAAAGGAAGCCCAGAAGCCCGGCAATTTGAAATATTTAGTAGAGCCCCATCCACCTTGACTAGCTAAGAGCAGCATTCCCGAATGGAGCCAGAAAGACAGGTCACGGTCATTCAGAAGTATGACTCTGCAGAGGCCACATAGTGTCTCACCTGGCAAATTGCCACAAGGGAGGGCTCTCAGAGGATCTCTACCAAATGGCGTTTAGAGGCTGTAGTTCAGAGATCTGATCTTCTATAACATTAATCTGCCGGGCATTCAGGGCAGATATATAAGGTACAGTATTACTACAGGAAATGACAAATAGTCATGTACAGCTAATGTAAATTATTATATTAATATCAGGTGGACACCTCAGTGATGAGACATTACATAGCTAAGTCCTGACAAATCTCCCACCCATCTGACACCATGCAGGTGAAGTATTATGGACTACATATTCCCTATGATGTACTTTACACGCCCAGGACTATTCTGTAATGAACAATTTGTACATTTTTTTAAAAATGTTTTTTATTGATTTCAGAGAGAAAGGGAGAGGGAGAGATAGAAACATCAGTGAGAGAGACACACCCTCCTGCACACCCAACACAGGATCAAGCTTGCAATTCGGGCTGTGCCCTGACTAGGAATCGAACCCGGGACCTCTTGGTCCATGGGAGGACCCTCTCCCATCTGGCAACCAACAAAATGTTCTCTGTTTATAAGACTGTTTCTGTTCTGCCTGTTGGATTTTTTAGATTCAATTGTTGATATGGATTTATTGCCATTTTATTGTTCATAGTTCTTTCTTTTACTTCCTTCATTTTCTTAAAGACCCTTTAACATTTCATGTAATACTGGTTTGGTTGCGATGAACTCCTTCAGCTTTTTCTTGTCTATGAAGCTCTTTTATCTGTTCTTTAATTGTAAATGATAGCTTTGCTGGGTAGAGTAATCTTGGTTGTAGGTTCTTGCTATTCATCACTTTGAATATTTCTTGCCACTCCCTCTGGCCTGCAGAGTTTCTGCAGAGAAATCAGATGACAGTCCTATGAGAGCTCCCTTGTAGTTAACTGACTGCTTTTTTCTTGCTGCTTTTCAGATTCTGTCTTTGACCTTTTGTGTTTTAATTATGATGAGACTTGGTGTGGGCCTCTTGCATTGATCTTGTCTGAGACTGCACTTCCTGCAATTGTATGTGTATTTCCTTCACCAGATTAGGGAAGTTTCCTGTCATTTTTTTTTTTTTTAGTAAGTTTTCAATTTCTTGCTCTCTCTCCTTCCGGCACCCCCACGAAGCAAACATTGATACACTTGAAATTGTCCAACTCTCCTTACACTATCTTCATAATTTTATATTGTTTTCTTTTTGCTGTTCTGATTGGAAGTTTTTTGCTTCCTTCTATTCCAAATCACTGATTTGATTCTGGGATTCATCGACTTTATTGTTGATCCCGTTACTTATTCTACATTTCAGTTGGTCTCATCTTCTGACTGGTCCTTTTTTATGCTGATGAGGTTCTTACTAAGTTCACTGAGCATCCTTATATATATAGATTGTTTGTCACTCCTTTGTCTACTTCTTTTTCTGAAGTTTTGTTATGCTCTTTCCTTTGGGACATGTTTGTCGCCTTTTTTTTTGGCTATCTCCCTGTGTTTGTTTCTATATGTTAAATAGAGCTGCTATGTCTCTCAAGCTTGGCACAGTGGCCTCATGTAGTAGGGGTTCTGTAGGATCCAGCAACACAGCTTCCCCTATCACACAGGCTGGGCCCTTGAGGTGTATCCTGTTCCTACTGTGGGGCTGTGCCACCATCCTCTTACAGTTGAGCCTTGATTGCTGTTGGCATGTCAACGGGAGGGATTTATCCCCAGGCTGATCAGCTGCAAAGACTGGCTGTGACCACAGACCAATAACCTCCAATTACTGTAGGATCAGCTGTGTAGGATACCACCCCAAAGAGCAGGAGTTACTTCAATGGGGCTCTGGTGTCTGCTGAGTCTACCCCTTGAGTGTGTTGCTTGTGGAGGTGGTTGAGTGGTGTTGCTTTGACGTGGTCTGAAGGTGTCCACTGGGTGTGCTGGCTCTGGGGCTTCCCTGGAGGTACAGGCCAAGGTCAGCCACTACCTGTGTTCTGCCTGGGACCATCCAGTATGAGCTACAAGGTTATCTGCAGTTGGCTGCTACTTGTGCTGGGCTTAGATGTGCCCAGGTGAAGTCAAGTTGCTGGAAACCAAGGCCAACTACTGCTAGTGCCGGGGCTTGGGGCCACTTCATGAGAGGTATGGGGCACACTGAGGTCAGATGCTGCTTTGAGAGACTTTAGGGAATTCTTAAGCATGAGCCAACATAGGCTTTTGGTATGAATAAGCCACTGGAAACCACTTGGGTAGGCCTGGAAAATCACCAGGTCTGGGGCCTGGGGAAACAGTGATAGCCAGGCTGAGACAGAGTCTCAGAGATGATGCTTGCAAGGCTCTGTGCCGGGAGGGTTCATCAGAGGAACACTGGCCTCAGCCAGCACCTCTGTCTTGAAAAAAGCTGCCCCCACAGCTCTCACCCCGATGACAGACCCATTTGTTTCTGCTGTCTTTCAGACTGCTGCCCCAGTGCAGGAGATCAGAGAATGAGGCTGACTAAGTCCATGCATGGGCCCTTTAAGAGTAATAGGTGGGGGTCTAGCTGCCTTAGCCTCCCTTAATTCCAGCTTGTTTTCACAGCCAGAAGTTATGAGGCTGGGAGGTCTGGTAAGGGGTTGAGAACTCCTGAGGTCGGGACCTCTGCAGATGAGATAGCCTTCCCAATTTTTATCTGCCACATGGGGAATGGGACCAGCTGGCCTGCACCTCCACCTCTCCTACGATCTGAGTGTAGCTTCTACTCTAGTTGTAGGACTCCCATCCAGCTAGACTTTAGGTGGTTCTGAAGTTTAGTTGTAATTTTGGTGTGGTTGGGGCAGGAGATGAATAGAGCTCCTACCCAATTTGAATAGTGAACAGGTTCTAGGTGAAAGAAACAGACTTACAGGTGAAAGAAATAGACTTACAGGTCCAGGAAGTGCAGAGAACCCCAAACAAAAGGAATCCAAAGAGGACCACACCAAGACACATCATAATTAAAATGTCTAGAGCAAAAGACAAAGAGAGAATCTTAAAAGCAGCAAGAGAAAGAAACCCAGTTACCTACAAGGGAATACCCATACGACTGTCAGCTGATTTCTCAACAGAAACTTTGCAGGCCAGAAGGGAGTGGCAAGAAATAGTCAAAGTGATGAATACCAAGAACCTACAACCAAGATTACTTTATCCAGCAAAGCTATCATTCAGAATTGAAGGTCAGATAAAGAGCTTCACAGATAAGGAAAAGCTAAAGGAGTTCATCACCACCAAACCAGGATTATATGAAATGCTGAAAGGTATCCTTTAAGAAGAGGAAGAGGAAGAAAAAGGTAAAGATACAAATTATGAACAACAAATATGCATCTATCAACAAGTGAATCTAAGAATCAAGTGAATAAATAATCTGATGAACAGAATGAACTGGTGATTATAATAGAATCAGGGACACAGAACGGGAATGGACTGACTATTCTTGGGGGGGAAAGGGGTGTGGGAGATGCGGGAAGAGACTGGACAAAAATCGTGCACCTATGGATGAGGACAGTGGGTGGGGAGTGAGGGCGGAGGGTGGGGCGGGAACTGGGAGGAGGGGAGTTATGGGGGGGGAAAAAAGAGGAACAAGCCGAAACCGGTTTGGTTCAGTGGATAGAGCGTCGGCTTGCGGACTGAAGGGTCCCAGGTTCGATTCCGGTCAAGGGCATGTACCTGGGTTGCGGGCGCATCCCCCGTAGGAGATGTGCAGGAGGCAGCTGATCAATGTTTCTCTCTCATCGATGTTTCTGACTCTCTATGTCTCTCCCTTCCTCTCTGTAAAAAATCAATAAAATATATTAAAAAAAAAAAAAGAAAAAAGAGGAACAAATGTAATAATCTGAACAATAAAGATTTAATTTAAAAAAAAAAGAAAATTAAAGAAAAAAGGATTACATTTTCAGAAAAATTACTTTGGACAAAATTTAAAATTCAGCACACTCTCCCACCTTGAAAAGAGAGGTCGAATTCTCCCTTCTGAATGTGCAGTATTTAGCGAACAGCACTGCAGACGTGATGGGAACCTTGATTTATCAAGTAACTGTGTGACTGCATGCCCTCATCAAAACTCACAGAACTGCACGTCATAAAGAGCAAAGTGTCACCCTGGCCGGTTTGGCTCGGTGGATAGAGCATCGGCCTGAGGACTCAGGGGTCCCAGGTTCGATTCCGGTCAAGGGCATGTACCTTGGTTGCAGGCACATACCCAGTGAAGAGTGTGCAGGAAGCAACTGATCAATGTTTCTCTCTCATCAGTGTTTCTAACTCTCTATCCCTCTCTCTTCCTCTTTGTAAAGAATCAATAAAATATATTTAAAAAAAGAAAAAAGGAGCAAAGTGTCATGTAAATCAAATATGAATGAATCAAAACACAGCATGCCTTTGAAGACCAAATGTCCTTAGCCCACCATTTTAAGAAATCAGCTCAGGGTGAAAAGACATTGCAGATACAAGTTTTATAAGCTTGCAAAGAGGTTGACTGGTGGTTATCCAACAGTGGTAACCAACACAAAAAATGCATGCACACAGGCAAACACACATACACAAGACAACAACAACTCAGTGACCACTGACATTTCTTTCTTATAACATTGGTGAGATATATACTACTCACAGCACCGAAGTAAGGAGCTTGATGTACCACCCCAGTGCCTTCTTCCTCCCTCACATAACTGTCGACAAGCACTGTAAAAGCACCATGCTCTTTCCACTGGAAAAGAAATGATGACAAGATTAAATGATCAAACAATACCAGATCATAATATGATAACCATTTTTAGAGTCTGAAAAACTTTTAAAATGAAATTATTTTCAGGGATGGAAATGGCAATAATTCATACTGGAAAGAAACATGCTAATTCTATACATCACATGAATAATTCATCCCTAATAATTATCTGAAGTGGCAGAAAAAAATGTCCAACTTTTTTAGTGCAAAAAGGGGCTTTTCATTATTTCTCCTGGACTGAACCCCTCCCCGCAGCATGCTGTTTATCAGTCTCAGAAAACACACTCCTCAAATTATTCCCGTCCTGGTACATAGTTAACCCTTGAACAATGCAGGGCTTAGGGGCACCAATCCCCATGCAGGGGAAAACTGAGTGTAACTTTTGATGCTACAGTTGGCCCTTCCCATTCTTGAATTCAACCATCCATAAATTGAAAACTGTATTTTCAATTTGCAGTTGGGAATGCAAAAAACTGTTATCTATTCATGGTTGGTTAAATAAAATACATGTATAAGTGAACCGGGGCCTTATTGAAGGGTCAACTGTATTTTCAATCACTGCATACACTTTGCTTCTCTTTCTCCTTCCAGTCCAGCTCAAGTTATTCAGCAGTAAAAGGCAAACCTTGAAAGAAATGGGGGTGGAGGTAAAGAGCTACAAGTTCTATGTTCTATTTGCAGACATTCTACCCTCAGAGGGGAAATGTTTCCAATTTGACTTCATTTGTAACAATAAAGTTAGGTTAGTACATATAAAGCTACAGACTTACTTTTTCTACCTTCATCTCTTAGTATTTCTTTTCAGAAGCCCTTTGTTTTAGCCCAAATAAAACCCCTTTGCTTTCTTACCTTTCTGCATTTGCAAAAAGTACGTTCAGAAATGATTTTCACAATTAAACCTACACTGCTATGAAAATGTATTAGTATTTCCATGTTTTAAAAATATTCTGGTTGTGCCCTAGCTGGTTTGGATCAGCGCATAGAACGTCGGCCTGCGGACTGAAGGGTCCCAGGTTCGATTTTGGTCAAGGGCATGTACCTGGGTTGCGGGCAAATCCCCAGTAGGAGGTGTGCAAGAGGCAGCTGAATCGATGTTTCTCTCTCATCGATGTTTCTAACTCTCTATCCCTCTCCCTCTCCCTTCCTCTCTGTAAAAAATCAATAAAACATATTTAAAAAAATATTCTGGTTGCATTTGTATTTCACGTTGAACCCAGAACAAAGTTGATGAAATGGTCTGCCTAATCACACACCAGCAATGATGAAGCTGGGACCTGAAACAAAGCCTTCTGGTTCAAAATACAGCACAAGGGCATCACAGCTCTTTATCTGTTGGCACTGGCTTAAAAATAAACATGACAAATAACTATAGACTTTCAATTGCTGTAACCTAACTCACCTGAAAATGTTTATGGTGTGGTGTGACAGGTACTGAGAGGTGTGTCTTCAATGATTTAAACATGGAGAGAACATGGGTGTCCTCAGAATCAGATGTAAGAATAGGGAACACAAAGGTATTTTGCTACTTATACCTGTATACCAAGAAACCCCTCACTGCATTCCCATCTCTCTGGGTGCGGCTCTGGATCAAGGCCTGCTGAGGCTGGCCAGCAGTCAGGACAGAGCACTGGAGTGCTGCCCCCACATACTCTCACAGCTCCCATTTAATATTTCAGAGCATGTGTATTTTATTTTAATTTTTTTAAAAATATATTTTATTGATTTTTTACTGAGAGGAAGGGAGAGGGATAGAGAGTTAGAAACATTGATGAGAGAAACATTGGTCAGCTGCCTCCTGCACACTCCCTACTGGGGATGTGCCCACAACCCAGGTACATGCCCTTGACCGGAATTAAACCTGGGACCCTTGAGTCCGCAGGCTGATGCTCTATCCAGAGTCAAACCAGTGAGGTCAGAGCATGTGTATTTTAGATACATAGCAAGTGAGTCTGTCCTAATTCAAGGAATTTGCAGCTTTTGTCTAAAATTCACAGGAGGTCCCAGAAATGTCAGGAAGCTAACTGAGTGAATCGGACAGGTCCTATTTATCATCTGTGTACTGAGAGCGTATTCCGCTGACTGAACCCAGAGCTCCTATCTAGAGTGTCCATGTGCATTCTCTGAGAGGGCTCAGCTTTCCGCGGGCTCTCAATAGGGCCTGTAATTCAGAAAGTTGAGAAGTCATTGACCTAATGGAAGAGTTTTAAGACAAAAACACATGAAATATGTTCAGATACGTGAGAAAAGGATGCAATAATGGCATTATTCCGAGGAACACAACCAAGAGACACTTCAGAAAACACTGTTTTGTAGATGACATCCAAGTTCAGCCTTGAAGAGTAGGTTATATTCGAGCATACAGGCCATTTCAGAAAGGTGAAGCAAATTTAAAAGAGAATGTAATGAAAAGGAAGGCAGAAAGGGGGCGGGGGGAAACCACAGCAGTTTGAGGCAAAAGATATGTTAGGGGATGTGACTAGGAAGCAGGTCTGCCTCATGCCTAGTGGAGAGCACCCGGCAAGGAATGTGTTGGCAAACGAAACTACAGGCTCACAGGAAGGGACCAGACCAGGCAAAGCGTAGGGATAACCACCAGCAGCAACAAGTAATGCGGAAAAGGCCCCTAGTTAGGAGACAAAAACACAGGGAAGCACTCAAGGAAAGACACATGTGGGCAATATTGTGCAAAGAGTCCACAAGGCTGAGGTCATCTGCACTAACCAAACTCAACCTCTGCATTGAAAACAGAGATAAGCAAATGTTTTATCCTGGGCCGCAATGCAAGTTTTTTTATGGCTAATGCTATGCCAAGCTGAATATATTTCTTACATAATATACAAAGCTAGGTCAGTTCTGAGGGCGTTGCTCATCATTTTAGTCTAAGACAAACATGTCAAATCATTGGATGACCAGCGGCCACCGGGCTGCATGCCTCGTTTAAATAAAAGACATGCTTGTTCTAAGACCTATAAATGAGGATTAATTCCTGCTGACCTTGTTGTTTTGTTGGTGGTTAGGTTTGCAACTATAGCTGCAAATTCTCTGTCAGAAAACGAAAACCACATAAAGCACCTTTATGATTCCTAAGAGACTAAGTTACTAAATGTGTGAGCTTTGCGGTGGTGCCTAGATTTAAAGGACCCACCTAATCCATTTATTGGAAATAAATTCTGTTTACTTTTACACACAGTTTTATTCTGAGCATTATCCTAAATTTATAAAATAGCCAAAAACAATCCCTCATATTCCTTGGGAATATGCAGACCATAAACAATAAATATATACACAATGAATCTTATGAAATGTGACTTCTTATGCAATTTGAGAAAAGTATTTTTAAGATTATTAATACAAGAAGGCAATACAAACAGAACTGAATCCTGTTAACACTAAAGTAGACTGCTTCAAGCACATTCATGGAAAGAGCAGAACAAGCAGGCCATGTGAAGCCCACATCAGCTACCATTAGATTGGTCCAGTGATCAATACTACAGAGGCTGGTGGAGAGCACTGTGGTAGAGCTCCCTAAGCTCACCTTCACAAAATAGTCAAACAGGGGCCTGTATTTCTTGCCTTGGAGAGAGGCACCTGGAAATCTAGGGAAAAAAAGAGGAACGCAAACGCACAATTAGATTCAAATTATCAACAAAACTAGGTTGCACCCACATGAAGTCACCACTGCCTTAGGTTACCGAACAGACTAGTACTTAAAATAGTACTTAAGTACTTAGTATTAAAAATGGTAATATACTTAAAGCTAAACTTGAAAAATATAACATTTGAGTAATAAAGTGTCTTTGGATTTGTATATTTACCTTTCAAGGATCTCATAGTCATTCTCCAATTTGTAGAGGGCCGGTAATCTGGCTTCCATTAAAATGAATGATTTTCCTCTGACAACATCTATAAGAGCAACAGGAAAAGAGGACTTCAGTGACAGCCAGATTGTGGCTTACTCTAAAGACAAACCTCAGCTCAGCTCTACCACAGGCCACCGCAGGTCACCTGAACCAGCGTGCCCAGCACTCAGAGCAGCACTGCCGATAGGGCTAGCATACACTACTTTCTACATACATGACAAAGCATAAAAAGCAGCAGGCAGCTCAATTGTCATTAATTGCACCTCTAGCCATTTAAAGTGAATTAATCTTTATTTTCTCCTACCAAAGTTAATATATGTGAATGAGTCAAAGTCCTAACATTAACAAACCAAGAAGCTCACAAACACAAGCCCCCATAATATAAGTTTTCAATATCTTGGTAGCTCTCTTCTCCTTTTGGCACCCCCATGTGAATGTTAGTACACTTGAAGTTGTCCCAGAGGCTCTTATACTATCTTCATATTTTTGGATTCTTTTTTCTTTTTGCTCTTCTGATTGGGTCTCTTTTGCTTCCTCATATTCTAAATCGCTGATTTGATTCTAGGCATCCTCTATTCTACGTAGCTCATGGATGTGTAGAGCTGTAATCTGGTGTGGTCTGAAGGTAGCCATTGGGCACACTGGCTCTGGGGCCACCTGGCAGGATCTACAGAGGGATTTGCAAATGGCTGCTACTTGTATTGGGCTTGAAGTGCCCAGGAGAGGCCCATTGTGAAGCAAGGCAGGCTGCTAGTGCTGGGTCTCACTATGGCTTCAGAGATTTTGGGAAAGTCTGAAGTGTGAGCCAGGACAGGCCATTCATATGGAAACGCTGCTGCAAACAGTTTGAGTGGGGCTGCAAGTTGGAATGTGCGGTGTCTTTGGAAATCACCAGGGCTGAGTCAGGAAATAACAGTGTGAGCAGGGCTGAAGAAAACTTCGATATGGCTGCCAGCTCTGAGATAGGGCACGTTTCAGCAGAGGAACAATGACTCCTGCCAGTATGCCTGTCTGGGAAAGCTGCCCCCAAGTTCTTGCTCTGAGGTCAGACAATTCAATTCCTCCATGTATGTCCCTGGATCCCTCCAAGCCGCTGCCCCAGGGCTCGGACTCAGAGGAAACAGGTCCATGTAAGTTCGTGCACCGGCCCTTTAAGAGGGACTGCCTGGGTCTTCAGCAGCCTCCAGGTCACCCAGCCACAGTCCCCACTAGTTTTTAAAGCCCAGAGTTATGGGGACACATCTTCCCATTCTGGAAACCTGGGCTGGGAGTCTGGGACCCTCCGCTCCTCACAGGAGGCCTCCACAGCAAAGATATCTCTCCCAGTTAAAAAAAACAGCACACGTGAGTATCAGACCTGCCCGAGTAAACGCTATTCTTGATCAAGTTGGCTGTCATGAAAGGTGGAATTTCTTTTCTTTTTTAAAAAAAATATGTAACGCTTCACGAATTTGCGTGTCATCCTTGCGCAGGGGCCATGTTAATCTGTTTCATTCCAATTTTAGTATATGTGCTGCCGAAGCGAGCAATGGAATTTTTTTTCTGGCCTTGAGTTTTTCTTTTCTTTCCATGGCTTCTTTCTTCCACTCTTAGACTTTCCTAGTGATGAGAGCCATGCAGCCCACCCAAGTTCCATGGGAAAGGAAGCTGTGCTTGGGACTCTTCTAGACGTCACCTATGAACTTCTTTATCTGGCTGTTTATGAGTAGCCTTTAAAATATTCTTTTGTAACAAACTGGTAATCTAGTATGTACAATGTTTCTCTGCGTTCTGCTTCAGCAAATTAATAGCATCTAAGGAGGAGGTCCTGGGTTAGCCAGAAATATATGTGACATTCTAGACTTGCAATTGGAGTCTAAAGTGGGGGTTGGTGGTGGGGACAATCTTATACAAGCGAGTCCTTAACCTTTGGGATCTAACTGCAGACAGCTAGTATCTGAATTGAGTAAATTGCTTGGTGGTGTTTAAAAAATACATATCATGCCAAAACCGGTTTGGCTCGGTGGATAGAGCGTCGGCCTGTGGACTGAAGGGTCCCAGGTTCGATTCCGGTCAAGGGCATATACGTTGGTTGCGGGCATATCCCCAGTAGGAGGTGTGCAGGAGGCAGCTGGTCGATGTTTCTCTCTCATCGATGTTTCTAACTTCCTATCCCTCTCCCTTCCTCTGTAAAAAATCAATAAAAAATATATTTAAAAAAATAAATAAAAATAAAGATAAAAAACACACATCAGAGCCTTAGCTGAGTGGCTCATTTGGGGGGAGCGTAGTCCCTTACACCCAAAGTTTGTTGGTTCCATCCCCAGTCGGGTGCATATGGGAGGCAACTGATCAATATTTCTCTCTCTTCCTCGCTCTCTCTCTCCCTTGCCCTTCTGCTCTTTAAACACATGCTCTGTGAAGATTAAAAAACAAGCAACCCACACACATCAGATTCCTAGGAATGATGAGATGCCAGCTCTCTGAACCTTCAATACTTCATCTATAATGGGGGCATGATGTGCAAAAGTATGCTAAAATCAGAAAATTATAAAGGAATTTTTACTTTGTATATCTGCACTATTTTGCTTTTTGGTATGCTATATTTTTAATCTGTCAAAGAGAAAAGCACAGAGCCAAAATGGCCTCACTCATGCTAAAAGCCCATGATACCAAACCCAGGTTTATTATTTGATCTAATTGTTTCAACTTCTCCTAAAAACAACATTAATCAACAAGTCTGGAATTTTCTGGTCAATACCAATGAGGTAATCTGTGGCATAGACTCTCACCATATCCACCCCAAAGGAAAAGGAGGCAATCTGAATAACAAACAAACAAACAAAAACCTTTGCTATTAGCTTCCTCAAAAAATACACACATAGCAAACAGATGTCCTGGTGTAAAAATAATCCTTTCTTTTCTTTCCCTAACAGCGCTCCTTGCCCTACCCCTCTTCCTATAAAAATGCTTCATTTTGTACTATCCTTAGCAGCAACCTTCTACTTGCTAGATGGGATGCTGCCCACTTATAAAAGCCAACTAGACCTTCAACTTTAGTTGGCTGAATTGTTCTTTAACACATTAGAAGTGAAAACAAAACAACACAACTCTTTTACAGATTGTTTACTCCACAAAAAAATGTTATGTTTACTCTTTCCCAAAATGTTAACAATTATCATATCCATATTAATCATAAGTCACCAAGCTCACACTTACCTTTAATCTTTACATACTGCATATCCGGATTAACACAGAGGGCAAGGTTACTAGGCAGAGTCCAGGGAGTAGTTGTCCAAGCAACCAAAGATATACTTTCGTCTTCCTCCAAAGGAAAGGTAACAAATATTGAAGGATCTTGAACGTCCTCAAATAAAATGAGACAAAGTATTTCTTTTTAAAAATCCATAATAACAAACATGGAAGAAAAAGAAAATAATCCTAAAGAATAAAAGATTTTCAGAATAAATTGAGCTTTTAAAAAACCATTTGCCACATTTATAAAAAATATATAAATCAAGAAATTCCAAATATATTTTTTAGTATACTTTAAAGTTTTAACAATTACACATTGCATAATGACATTAAGATCAATGGACTGAAGATATGGTGGTGATCCCTTAAGATTACAATGGAGCTGAAAAATTGCTATAGACTAGGCCAGTGATGGCGAACCTTTTGAGCTCGGTGTGTCAGCATTTTGAAAATCCCTAACTTAACTCTGGTGCTGTGTCACATATAGAAATTTTTTGATATTTGCAACCATAGTAAAACAAAGACTTATATTTTTCATATTTATTTTATATATTTAAATGCCATTTAACAAAGAAAAATCAACCAAAAAAATGAGTTCACGTGTCACCTCTGATACGCATGTCATAGGTTCACCATCAATGGACTAGGCTAATGATGCCTTAGGTTCCCTAAGGTCATAAGGCAATGTATTACACAAGTACTTATGTCAGGGGCAAAAATAGAATATTGGGGACTAGCTCTGGTTATGGGAAATATTAATCATGCTCTGTTAACCATGACTGCCTTGTGTTGGTTAAAGAAAGGACTTTCTGACCTGGCTGGTAGTTGTATGCCCCCAGGCCCTGGGAGTCAACCTTGGAACCATTCTCATTCAAGAATTGCCTATCATCATGGAAAGATTAACAGCCTTGCTGTCCAAACAATGGAGTCCCACCCCAGCCTCCTACTTTCCCAGGCCTGTAATCCCTACTTCTCCATGTAATCCTTGTCCTACCCTATATAAGCAGCTGGCTTATGGGGGGGCTGCAGAACAGATTTTTGTGGTTGCCCTGCTGCTCTCCCATACTGCTGGAAGTATTGGAATAAAGACTCATATATATGATTCAAACCTGTCTCTGCTTAATTGGCTCAAGGAGTGAAAGGCAGCATGGGCCCACTGATTGTCTAGTTATGCTTAGTAGCATTGCCTTACAATTATCTACAATGTTTAGTATAGTAACATGCTGTGTATACAGCATGTAGCCTAGGAATTGTAGGGAAAGAGAATTTGTCAATTAACACAGAAAACAGCAGATATGGGAGAAGCTCTGAAAACTAAGAAGTTAGCTTTTTGTAAAACACATTTACATTTTAAGAGGAATCTCCACTTGTAAGGGTGTCAGGAAGAGGAAGAACTTAGCATTAGAAACTTTTATCAATGCAGGTAACTATGTAAATCTACTTAGCAACTTTACTTTTGTTTGCTGTGATTTTCCTGATAAGCTCCCACAACTGACGCCCCGCCCCCACCCCCAACATCTCTGGCCTTCAGCTGAATTTTGGCAAGTTACTCAGTTTTCCAAGGTATCTACCATGTATATAGAAGATATACATGCTATTTAAATCTTTTGTTTTTCTCCTGTTAACCTTTTATTACAGGGTATTTGAGCCAAGAACCCAGGAGGGTAGAGGGAAATTATTTTTCTACCCCTAAAGAACAATAAGCTATACCATGTAGCCTAGGTGTGTAGTAGGTTGTACCATCTAGATTTGTGTACATGCACTCTGATGTTCTTGCAAGGACAAATGTACTGAACAGATCCTTAAGCAGAGCATGACTGTAGTCACAGATAAAACATTTTAAGTGTATCAATATGGATATATACTGGAAGTTTCACTATTACAATGATCTATTTCATAATAAGTTCATAAAGTGGTACACCTGAAGCATAGTGGTCCCTCCTTTGGTAAAACTGCTGTTTGAACTATTCTGTTATTCTTAGTCTCTTATTCTGTAGGTCAACTCTGTTGTTTTTACACTGTAAAATAGCTTTGTTTTTAGCTTGAATAATAGAAAAGATAAATTTAACTGGCCTTGCAAGCTAGCCATCTAAAGGGGCTGATACATGCCCTAACCGGTTTGGCTCAGTGGATACAGCATAGGCCTTCGGACTGAAAGGTTCCAGGTTCGATTCCGGTCAAGGGCATGTACCTTGGTTGCGGGTACATCCCCAGTAGGAGGTGTGCAAGAGGCAGCTGATCGATGTTTCTCTCTCATCGATGTTTCTAACTCTCTATCCCTCTCTCTTCCTCTCTGTAAAAAATCAATAAAATATATATTTTAAAGGGGCTGATACACTGATCTCTAATAATAAAAGAGAAACATGCAAATTAGCCATCCCTCCCTACGCTCAAGCCACGCCCACCATTAGATCAGAGTGATATGCAAATTAACCCAACAAAGATGGCGGACCTGTGGGCAGCACGCATGTGCACAGGCACCGAGCTGCTGGGGGCAGGCGTCCCACACCGCCCCGCCCTGGCTCATCCAGGCCGGTGGGCAGCATGCACAGGGGTGAAGCGGCCGGGGGTTGGGAGCGGTAGGACGCCTGGCTTCCACCCAGCCCTGGCCGCTCCAGGCTGGTGCACAGCATGTGGAGGCAAGGAGTGGTAGTGTGGGGCGGGACACCTGGCTTCCGCCCAGCCCCGGTCACTCCAGGCAGGTGAGCAGTGCCCGCTGGCGTCCTGCCCCACCAGGCCGCTCTGGGCCTGTGGGCAGCATGCTGAGAGCCTCTGGGCAGAGGAGACAGGTCGGTGGAGGGCGGCTGGTACTCCCCACATGGCTGCGGTAGCAGCTGTGAGCGCGCCAAGCAGAGCCTGAGGGTTGAGCTGAAATAGCGCCCGCAGGACATCAGCACCGAGTGGCTGCACAAGTCCCACCTCCTGGCCCAGAAGGCATGCAATTGCAGGGACAGCTTCCGTGGCGGGCCAGATTGACACCCTCCTGGCTGTGCCACGGGGGTTTGCGGATCTGTGAAGCCACAGGCCTCCGGTGCACACATCCTCTCCTCCCTTCCTGGCATGCGAACATCCCCCAGCACACTGTCACCCTCGTGCGCTTTCAACAGTTGCAGACCAAGGCGCGCACAAGTTCCTCCCGCCCCTCTGCAGCACTTCCATCAAACCCAGCATGCCTAAGTCCCCCACAGGAAGTGCACACGTCCCCTCCAACATGCTCATGTCCTTTGGGGAGAGTCTGGGTGTTCTGGGTGATGAGGGTGGGTGCCTGTGAGATGACAGTGAGAGGGCAGAGTGGTGATGCCCTGTTCCTGCAGAGGCCAGTGCAGCGACGAGATCACCTCTGTGGGGCTAATGCAGGTGCTGAGGCAGGAGCAGGTGCAGACACACCTGGTGGGAGTGGGTGGCCCTAGCTGAGGTGCCTTCAGTCAGCGTTCAAGATTAAGAACCCAGAGGCAGCGAGGAGTTCCGTTCTCTCAGTGAAACAGTGGGATAGTTGGGGCGACTGCAGAGGAGGAATGTGCACTTTGGGTGCTGGCGCCCATGAGCAAAGACTGCCCTGACTGAGCCTTGTTCGCTTGGGGCCTAGCGCACTTCTGCCAGGCAGCGGGTGACAGGACGTGCTTTTCCGAGTTAGAGAGAAAACATTGATTCTCCTGCTGCCCGCGAAGGTGGAAAGTGAAGGGGGGAGACATGCGGGGAGTGAGCGAGGGTCCCTGTCTGGGGGTTCCAAATCTGCCTTGCTTCCTTTCACCGCTGACTAGAGATATACAGGGTATCCACCCAAAATGTATACACACTTTGAATACCTACTAATTCCAATGCGTTTAAGCATGAGAAGAAAGAAACAACAACGGAGCTGTAATCTGTTAAAAATGCAGGCACAAACCAGCAATCGGACATTCCCCGAGGGGTCCCGGATTGGAGAGGGTACAGGCTAGACTGAGGGGCTCCTTTCCCCCGCCCCCACCCCAGTGCAAGAATTTCGTGCACCGGGCTACTAGTACTGATAATAATTCTCATATTCTCATGCCAAGTGTTTGTTCATCCAAGATTACAGGTGTCTATATAGATATGTACTCAAGATTACAAATTGGCTGTATAGGTATGACAGGTGTTTGTTAGATATGATATATACTCAAGATTACAAATTGCCTGTAAAAATAATTTACACAAGGACCTAAAAGAATATAAAAAGAAAATGCTTCATCCTTTGGGTGTTCAGAATTTGATAAAGGTAGTAATCTGCTCTGAACCTGCACGCAATAAAGATGACTCCTAACTAATGGGCTCATTAGGCGTCTTGTCCAGCTAGCTGATTTGTGATCAACACACCAACAAAATAACTGTTTAGGAAAAGTTATTCTTTATTAAAAAATCTAAGTACGAGTCATTCTCAAACACCGTATACATGAAGAACTTATAACACACCAAAAAAATATTTTTTTTAAATATATATTATTGATTTTTTACAGAGAGGAAGGGAGAGGGATAGAGATTTAGAAACATGGATGAGAGAGAAACATCGATCAGCTGCCTTCTGCACACTCCCTACTGGGTATGTGCCCGCAACCAAGGTACATGCCCTTGACCGGAATCGAACCTGAAACCCTTGATTCCGCAGGCTGACGCTCTAGCCACTGAGCCAAACCGGCTAGGGCATAACACACCAAAATTTTAACAGAGTGAAAAGCTTGGTCTGTCTGACTCCATCTTGTTTAAGCCTGCTTTGTCCCCAGGGCCTTACAGCTTCTGCTTAGTTTTGAAAATAGAAATGCTAATCATTGGAAAATTCTGCTCCAGGCTCCCAAGGAGATAAAGGAAGTATGTACAAAAATGATTATCAAAGATTTGAATGGATTCACATAAATTAGAGTTAACACATCAAGAAGAAGGAAGTTTTACAAGCTTCCTTGGATCTATGCTGGCGTTCAAATGCCTGCAGTTGTTAATTACCTCTTTGCCCTCCTGTCTTCCTTTTCCCTTGACACACAAGGCTGAATTCTGTACTTTCTTGAGATGGATTTTTTTAGGATGCTTGACTGTCATCTTGTTGGCTGCTGGCTATCTGAATGAAGTCACTTCCTTGCTCTATCACGTTATCACTCAACTCAC